GTCTCCTGTGTTTGCCTGAGGTTTGTATTTAAGGATTCCAAGAATATTTAACATTCTTTTAACTGTCTGATCAGGCATTTCATCCCGAATGTCCACAGAGTGCTATAAACATAATAATGGGTTAAAATAATACAGTTAGAGAGTAAATGTATATTTAATATAAAATGTGTTCCATACTAAATAGGAAGCCAAAAATAAAACTCTGGGTCTCACAGTGAGTTAGGCTTAGTTAAATGTCACATTTGAATAGTTATGAGTATGATGAAAAGGATGGGCATTATTTACTGAAACAAAATATAGCACTCAGAAATTATACACCGTAACTACACATAAATAATTGTCTAAATAAACTTGCGTTTAAAACGAAGAACAATTTTCAGCTTTGCAATTATTTGAATTTATTCACTAAAATTTTAATACTTTGTCCAGATTATGAAAAATAATTAGTACTATTCAGATGAATCGGGACATTGATCACACAATTAATGTTCATTTTTAGTAAGATATTCCAAGTTAACTTGAATGCAGTCTGGTTTTCATCCCATCTGAATGCAATCAAATGGTTGAACTCAGGAACCAAATACTAGAAATGTGCAAACAAATGCTTATTAATCTATAATAATTCATCAGAATTGATCACCATCTACCTGCAAATGCAGTTCAATCAAATTTACACCATTTGACTGAACTGAATTTGCAAGTATAGAGTTAATAATTTTAGCACAAGTGAATACATTGAAAACAGCTGTCATTAGTAGCATTTAGATAACAGGGTTAACTCCACAGAGAGGCACATTATGCACCAATTATTTAAACATAAAATATAGGTTATAAGATGCGTATTATTTTTAAACTATTAGGTTAAAGAAACACTGGAGCGTTAGGGATACAAAACGTTTAACACTTATCTTAATACCAGTGCCAGGGTCCCTCACCATGGATCGATCTCCTCCTCCATCACGCCCATAGAGGAACATAATGTGCAGGTGCAGCGAGAGCATTGGAGCTTCCCCATAGGAAGCATTGAATCAATACTTTCCTATGAGGATTTTGTAGACGCTGAACATCCTCATGCAAAGTGTGAGGAAGTCCAACAACTTTTCAAGGAGTTAAACTTTGAAATTGTACAAATTATTCATGGTATGTTTTTTTTATGAATTAAAAGTTAATTTGTTTTTCGTACAAATTAATTATATACATATATTTTGGTTCACTCTGTTATATATATATATAAATAAAAAATGCACACATTATATAGCCAAAAGTATGTGGACACCTAACCACCTATATTAACTTGTTGAAATATGGTCACCTCTTTGCAGCTACAACAGCCGCCATTGTTCTGGAAAGGCTTTCCACAAGATTTTGGATTTTGTGTGTGAGAATTTGTTCCCGTTCTGACAAAAGAGTTTTTGTGAGGTCAGGCATTGATGTTTCAGGAGAAGGTATGGCTTGCAATCAGCATTAATTTTTATTTTTTTTTATTAAAAAGAAACCCTATCCTCCTCACCACACATTCACAAACTGCCCACTCCCTACACACATTTCCCCCCATATACACACTGCCCCACACACACACACACACAAACACAGCCCCCATGCACACACTGCCCTCACACCATACACATTCACAAACTGCCCCCCCATACACATTCACACACTGCCCCCCATACACACATTGCCACACACACACATACACATCCCCCATACACACATTTCCCCCCACACTACACATTCACACACTACACCCCCCTCACCCCTCCACACACACAAACACTGAACCACACAATGCCACTGAATTGAGCGGAAAACTGTTCAACAGGGTTGAGGTCAGGGTTTTGTGCAAGCCACTCTCCACACCAAACTTGTCAAACTATGCCTTCACGAAGTTCACTTTCCACATAGGGGCACAGTCATGCTGGAACAAGAAAGGGCCTTCTCCAAACTGATGCCACAAGGTTAGAAGCATCCAATTTTCTAAAATGTCTTTGTATCCTCTAGTATTAAGATTACCTTTCGCTGGAACTAAGGGTCTAACCAAAACCTTGAAAACCAGACCAGAAGATTATCCCTCTTACACCAACCTTTACAGTAGGTAGCGTTTTCCTGGCATCCACCAAACATAGATTATTCCATCAGACTCCCAGATACAAAAGCGGTATTTATCACTCCAGAGAGCACATTTACACTGTGCTCTAGAGTGCAGTGGTAGTGTGCATTAGACCATTGCAGACAACGCTTGTCATTGCACATGTTGATATTAGGCTTGTGTACATCTGCTTAGCCATAGAAACCTATTTCATGAAACTTCCAATACAATTCTTGTGCCAATGCTTCTTGCAGAGGCAGGTTGTGATTCTGCAGTGAGTAATGCAACTGGTGATAAGAGATTCCTACAAGCTAGATGGTTGAGCACCCCCACTCTGTGAGTATGTGTGGTCTGGGATGTTGTTGCTCTAAGATGCTTCCACTTCCCAATGATAGCACTTACAGTTAAACAGGGAGATCTAGTAGGCCAGAAATATCACAAACTGACTTGTGACATCCTATGGCATTTCCATGTTTAAAGTCAATGGGTTCTTCACTATGAGTCTGTATTTGTGTAGGGAGATTTCATGCGCTGGATTTTATGTACTTATTAACAATTAATAAGGCTGATACAACTAAACTGAATGATAAGTAGAAATTTCCAAATACATTTGGACATATAGACACACACACTCACTTATGTATCTTATTGTTTTTTAATACACATTGAACAAACACAATTATTTGACATTAAGCTCTGTTACCTTTGGATCAATCTCTGCAAGAACGTCATTTAGCACTTGCAACAGCTGCATTGGTTCCAGTGAGTCGAATGTTATCAAATTATAGTTCTTCTTAAATGGATCCTTGTTGAGTTTTTCCACAATGAATTTAAGTTGATCACTCATGTTGACTCCACGACCGTTACCTATAAATGCATAAATGAAAGCTGGCTGTGACAAGTAGTTAAAGGAACACAAACATATATTCCTGACCCTATAATGCTAAAACCATCATCTAGCCCTCCTGCCCCTAAATATAGTAAAATCTAACTTTTATTCAAGTCTGCAGCTGCTGGCTCTGCCCCTGATAATCTGCTTGACTGACATCATCAGAAGTGATTATCTGAGCCTATCAGAATGTATTCCCATAGGAAACCATTGGATTGGCTGAGACTGTCAAGGAGGCAGATCAGGGGCAGAGCCAAACACAATGCATCTCTATGAGAAAAGTTCAGTATCTGCATGCAGATGGTGGAGACACTGAATGGCAGTGCTGCACGCAGCATTGCCCCAGGAATCACCTCTTGTAGTGATATAAGGAGTGGCCAGTGGAGGTACCCATGGCTTTAATATAAACAATGCATTTTATCTGAAAAGACAGTGTTTCCTGCAAAAAGACTGAAGGGAATGATTATACTCACCGGGACAAATACAATAAGCTGTAGTTGTTCTGGTGACTATTGTGTCCCTTATTTTGTAATGATAATACTGTATTAATAAACTGTATCATGTTTTATACAGAATGTATATGGAGGCTTTCTATTGCATTGTGATATCCCCAGAACACATGGGACAATGCTGCTGTTCACTGGCACAGCAGATGTGTACTTTAGTTACCCTCATGCTCAGCCAGTTAAGAAAACACCTACTAAAAAGGATTTTTTTGCACGACAGTCTGGAGATACACACGGTTTTTCACTTATGAGCATTCTGTTGACTACTGGGAAGCATACATTTTATGTGAGCAACTTCTGACAACTGTCTACAGATGGGTTTTTAGGTTAACCTCTAATAAAAATTAGGTGTTTTTACTGGAGTAGTTGATGATGTGATTAGCCACTCCGACACAGTTTGGCACACACTGGTTCTAAGGTAAAAAAAAAATAAAAAATAAATGCTATGTACCTGAATACATTTAGACTATATCTTTATGTATTTGCACCGGAAATATAATAGTTGAATTTGCAAAGGGTGGAGTTTGACGCTAGTGTAATGTATTTAATTAAAAAATTTCTACAACTTATAGTTTTATTAAATATAGTAAATTTACAACTAATGCAGTATCAGGAATTAATAGCACAACAAACTACACTTTAAAAACAGAAGATCATAAAGATAAATATATCAACAGTGTGATAGCTTAAATCACTAAAAACAAGTGCCATATCTATCTGCTGACTGAAAAGAAAAGATGGATAAAAAAATATGGATTTGCTATCAATCCTCCTGCGAGGTAAAAGGCTCCAATACACACAATAAACATTCAGACAAAGAGGAGCAGAATAGAGGGCCCAGGGCTCCCATAGGGGGACTCTCCCTATACACACACATATATAAATAGGCCAGTTTAAGGAAATGCGGTTTGTTTGTTTTCTTGAGAATATTCCTGCCTTGTCTCCACGGTACGACCTCCTACAGTCACAGCTGCTTACTAACCCCCATCCCCGAGTCTGGGAGGGAGGGAGGGATATAAGGAAATGGCTGGGGGTTCATACACCAGCACCCTGTCACCATGTAACAATATAAACTGAATTATTAGAATTATTATCATTATTACTACCTGACAGCTAGAACTGATATTCTCAACACAAACAGCTTGAAGCAGTTGCCAAGGCGACGCTCTCGGGGGGTGACGTCATATCCGGAAGCCCAGGAAGTGTCGTGCCGAAGTCAGCGGGTGCAGTTGGTGAGGACCGCGCGTTCGGTACGCTCTGCAATGAGAGGATTACTTGTGCGATGCTGCCCTCTAGTGGACAAAAAAAAAAAAAAAAAGATACCGTATGTGTCTTATCTCTATGTGTAGGCATAGGCGTGCGCAGCCTATTGCATTAGGGTGTGCACCCTAAAGCACAAGCACACGCCACATATATATATATATATATATATATGTGTATATACACACACACACACACACATATATACACACATAAACACACTGCTGTGTGTGTTTGTGTGTGTGCGCTTGTGAGGGTGCTGTTTGTGTGTGAGGGTACTGGTAGTGTGCTGTGTGTGTATTTGTTAGGGTCCTGTTTGTGAGGGTACTGTTAGTGTGCTGTGTGAGGGTGCTGTTTGTGTGCTGTGTGTGAGGGTGCTGTTTGTGTGCTGTGTGTGTTTGTGAGGGTGCTGTATGTGTGTTGGTGCTGTATGTGTCACGATTCCGGAACCTAACACGCTAACAGGTCACAGAGAGGAAGGTTGCTATACCGGTCCTTAGAGTGGCCGGGCTAAGCACGCTAAGAATAGTCAGGAGACAAGCCAACTAAAGGGAGCCAGAAAACAGGAGAACGAGAAACAAGCCGAGGTCAAAGGAGCGGAGAAGACAGGATAAACGGAATAACGAGCCAAATAATCGGTAACCAGAGAGCAAGACGAGAACACTACGCTACAGGGATCACAAGACCACAACAGGGCACTGAGGGACAGGAAAGGTAAGTATAAATACCCTTGGTTTAATTCTGATTGGATAATTTCCAATCAGAATTAACAATCACACGTGGGGGATATCTATACCTCTCACTGTGATTGTGGTACTGTTCCTTTAACGCCGGGTCACTCACGTGACCCCGGCGATTACATAAGTCAGTGACCTCCCAGCGTGCAGCGTTATACATGCTGCCGCTGGGGGGCGTGGAGGACGAGAGCGGCGAGCGGCAGAGAGGAGACGCCACTCGCCGACAGGTAAGCGGAGCGGATCCCTGACAGTATGTGGGTTGGTGCTGTGTATGTCTGTGGGTGCTGTATGTGTGTAGGTGCTGTGTATGTCTGTGGGTGCTGTATGTGTGTTGGTGCTGTATGTGTGTTGGTGCTGTGTGTGTCTGTGGGTGCTGTGTATGTGTGTGAGTGCTGTATGTGTCTGTGGGTGCTGTGTATGTCTGTGGGTGCTGTGTATGTCTGTGGGTGCTGTATGTGTGTTGGTGCTGTGTATGTCTGTGGGTGTTGTGTGTGTGTGTGCTGTATGTGTGTGGGTGATTGTGGGGGGTGGAGGTGGGGGTACATTACTTGATATCCCCCCTCCCTTCTTACCTTTTGTAGGGAGAGGGGATCCTTGTTGCTGCTGCTTCCATCCCTGGTGGTCCAGTGGAGAGTGAACTCTAGCCCCTGTGGGGCTAGAGTTCACTCTCGCGAGATTTGAGCGTTGCCGTGGCAACGCTCATATCTTGCGAGAGGAACCCGGCGGAGCTGCCAGCAAGAGCTCCGCCGGTCCTCTCCTGCCTCCCTCCCTGCATGTGGGTCGGTAGGGAGGGAGGCTGAGAGCAGAGCCGGCTCTCGGATAGCGCCGGCTCTGCATGAGCCGACAGGGGAGATCCTGAGATCTCCCCTGCCGGTCTCAATATACATAGGCGTGCCACAGGGATTAGGGTGTGCCCAGGCACACCCGGCACACCCCGTGCGCACGCCTATGTGTGTAGGTAAAGGTGGGACTGTCACTGCTTCACTTTTAGCACAAGCATATAGATAAATAAAATGTAGTAAACGTTTTTAAAGATTCTTTAACGGAGGTACCCAGTCGGGGTGCCAGGTGATCCATTACAACTCCTGTTGTGGATTTTTGTTTGTTTGTTTTCTCCCTCCTACCCAAAGGTAATAATTCCTATTCCTAGTGGCACATGAGAATTTTGGTGTTCTCAGTCAATGACTCAGAGCACCGATTACGGCACTCTCAGTCGCTGAAAAGCGCTCCCTTAAGGTAGTGAGGGGCACAGGGACAGGCACAGAGATCTTTTATTCTCCCTACCAGCTCAGGGATGGCTTGCACACAGATTGAGCCAGAGCTTCAGGCCCAAACAGGGGTCAACAGACCAAACTCCCCTTGATAGTTACTCTTGCGTTGTGTTTTGCATCTCCAAGAACAAGTCACTGAAAATGCCAACATTCACAGTATTCTGCCTTCTCACTATAACTAAAGTGGGAAATCAAAGTGAATTGAAAGTCAATATACTCATATATCTGAACTGGAATCATAGCTGAATTATACAATGTTTCCAGTTTGGTTATTTTGGATGTAAAATTTCAAATTCACTGTCAATTCTCTTTTAATTCTGACTTTAATAAATTAGCATGTAAGTCTCCACTCTGGAACTTCCAAGCTATGCTGTTCCGCTTTCATGTGACCTCCTATTCTCTTTGTTTAACTCTATGTTATCAAACCACTCAATATAATTAAATAGTGATGACACTAAATATATTCCCTGATGTTACCAGCTAAGCTGAGTGGTCTGAAAAGGTAGCTTTTTGTATATACTCTACTATATAATTACTTTCTATTCTGCTACATCCTTCCTTGTGCAAGTGCCTTATTTATGTTTATCTTTTTTTTTTTTTTAAAGTTGTTTATGGGTTTAAATTTCACAGACTATGCCAAGTATTGTCAAATAAAATATTTAAATTTACTATTCAAGTTATTTGTTCTTGTATTGTATTCAGAGAGTGCTTTCTGGTGACAGTTCCCTGTCAGGAAATGCTCCTAAAATAGGGGCTGTCCCGCTGAATTCGGGATGGCTGGGAGACCTGCACCTACACACAAATAATCATACAAACATTCTCAGACTTGTACATTTATGTTTTGTAACACACACTGTCTCAAAGACATACACACACATATGATTTATATTTATTTCCAAGTAGGTCCATCAAGCCTCCCGGGTCTGGGTGGGAAAGTTGAAGTGGATCCTCTCCATGGTGGGTAGTGGAGCTGTTATCTCTGTGCATTACCTGCGTGATGTTTGGACTAGAATAACATCCCGCCATCACTACAGGGCAAACGGGGGAGCTGAGCAGGCAGAACACAGTTATCAGTCTCCTCACAGCTCTTCCTCTGCCCCTCAGACCTGGGACTTTTGTGCGTTAATTACCAGATTTTACTAATTTCATGACGTAAAGTCATGATTTGATAAAGGACACGGAGGCGAGTATTATGCTTCTCTCTTTCTTTTATTGTTCAGCAGCAAAAGAAATATAGTATATATATTCAATGCAAAAAGGGAAAAAACAATTCAATAACACCACATCATACTTCTAAAGGGTTAATCAGATACCACATATGAACCAATCAGAGTGTCCCCATTACCACAAAGTCCCATGTGACCCTAAGCCACTCCTCTTTCTTTTGTTGTTGTTGATGGACACTCCAAAATTCAGCAGTGAAAATTCCAAACAGTGGACGTGTAAAGAAAAAAACAGCAAACACCAATAAAAGATGACGTCAGACGAACACTCAACAAATCCGTAAGAAACTGGTCATCTTCCATCCGCACACTTGTGGGCATGCCTGAAACCATTATGGCACTCCAATTAGGAAGCTGTAAAACAGAGAAACGAGATGGTAAAATATGTTCTTGGATAATATTTTTCCACGTTCATAATCCAAACTAACTAACACAATATCATTTTCAAGTTAGTCATTCAAAAGCAATAAGATAGCACATTATAACACGGTTCCATTCCCATAACATGTATTATATTCCCAGAGGCGGGCAACTTACCTCTCGTGGGTGGGATAATACTCGCCTCCGTGTCCTTTATAAAATCATGACTTTACGTCATGAAATTAGTAAAATCTGGTAATTTTATTAAAGGACACGGAGGCTCCTATTATGCTAGTTCAAAGCTGTGTGATCACCGACGTGGAAAAATGGTAAACCGGACGGAAATAAAATTCACGGAATGTAGATTCTATCGACCAATCGGCAGCTCGGAGGAGATCTTCCAATTTACAGCCTAATGAAAACGCTTTTGATGCCATTGCACCCCTCACTGAGTGTGCTCCATATGTGGAAGTATCAATGCCTGCCGACGTCATGATCCATTTAACCCAGCGAGATAGGGTGACTGTAGAAACCGGACGATGCGGTTGTCGAATGGCCAGGAATAGGTCCGCCCATTGAGGGTCTCGGACCGCAGCCGTCCTTGCTTCATACTCCTTAAGGCAGGATACTGGGCATAAGTTACTGTTGTGTGGAAAAGCGGGGTAAAAAACCTTCGTGATGGACGTTTTCGTACGCCTCGATATATCAAAGGCCACCCCTTCCGGTGTATATGAGCATGCCTGAATGTCCAATGCTCGTACATCTGAGACCCGCTTACAGGAGATGAGGCAGAACAAAGTGGCCAATTTCGCGGTGAGTTGTTTGATCGACAAATCTCCGTTCTGCGGCCAACTTTCAAAAAGTCGGAGAACGAGGTTCACATCCCATAACTCGGAATACCGAGGTCGTGGTGGTCGTGCAAATCTTATGCCTCGTAGGAGTCGACACACCATCGGGTGTTTCCCTGTTTGAATTCCATTCCAACCTACATGGCCTGCCGAGATAGCTGATCTATAGAGATTAATTGTACGATATGCCAGGCCGTGGTCGAAAAGTGAAGTAAGGAAACCCAGGACGTGACTCACAGTTGCAGATATGGGATCCACGTGTTGTTCCACGCACCAACCATACCATGCGTTCCAGGCATGTAAATATGATTTCCTTGTGCCAGGGGCCCAAGCTCCTGCCAGGAGGTCCAGAGTCGTTTGTGGAACATTTCGGGTGTCCTCGAGTCCCCTGAAAGGAGCCATGCCAAAAGCTTGAGATGTCCCTGTAGTATGAGAGGGTGCGGATTGCCATAGGGATCCAAGAGGATGTTGTCGTGTACTGGCAGTAACCTCGGTAGATCTATGGACAGTTCCAGGAGTGTAGGGAACCAGGGTTGAGACGTCCAGAATGGAGATACGAGGATTAGGGATGTCCGGTGTCGTCTGAGGTGCAGCAAGGTCCGAGCGATGAGAGAAAAGGGGGGAAAAGCGTAATGCCTGGTGTGCGGTCACGGTTGTCGGAAAGCGTCTGCCGCCAGAGCCTCCGGATCTGGCCTCCAGCTGAAAAACTTCGGCAACTGCGTGTTCAGCCGTAACACGAACAGTTCGATGTCCAGCGGCCCCCACAGTGAGTGTAAATGGCTGAAAACGGCCGGGTTCAGCCGCCAGTCGCTGGCATCCCGTAGATGTCTGGAGTTCCAATCCGCTACTACATTGCTCATCCCCGGGATGTGTTCCGCTTGCACTGATATGTTGCGGTCCAGGCAGAACTGCCAGAAATCCTTCGCCAATTCCGCAAGTATTGCTGACCTCGTGCCCCCGAGGTGATTGATATATCGAACTGCGGACACGTTGTCCATGCGTAACAGGATGGAACAGTTGGTCGACACGTTCAAGAGACTCCGTAAAGCAAACGAACCTGTCAACAGTTCGAGGCAATTGATATGAAACATAGAAACATAGAAACATAGAAACATAGAATGTGACGGCAGATAAGAACCATTCGGCCCATCTAGTCTGCCCAATTTTCTAAAAACTTTCATTAGTCCCTAGCCTTATCTTATGGTTAGGATAGCCTTATGCCTATCCCATGCATGCTTAAACTCCTTTACTGTGTTAACCTCTACCACTTCAGCTGGAAGGCTATTCCATGCATCCACTACCCTCTCAGTAAAGTAATACTTCCTGATATTATTTTTAAACCTTTGTCCCTCTAATTTAAGACTATGTCCTCTTGTTGTGGTAGTTTTTCTTCTTTTAAATATAGTCTCCTCCTTTACTGTGTTGATTCCCTTTATATATTTAAATGTTTCTATCATATCCCCCCTGTCTCGTCTTTCCTCCAAGCTATACATGTTAAGATCCTTTAACCTTTCCTGGTAAGTTTTATCCCGCAATCCATGAACCAGTTTAGTAGCCCTTCTCTGAACCCTCTCTAAGGTATCAATATCCTTCTGAAGATACGGTCTCCAGTACTGTGTACAATACTCCAAGTGAGGTCTCACCAGTGTTCTGTACAATGGCATGAGCACTTCCCTCTTTCTACTGCTAATACCTCTCCCTATACAACCAAGCATTCTGCTAGCATTTCCTGCTGCTCTATTACATTGTCTGCCTACCTTTAAGTCATCAGAAATAATCACCCCTAAATCCCTTTCCTCATATGTTGAGGTTAGGACTCTATCAAATATTCTGTACTCTGCCCTTGGGTTTTTACGTCCAAGATGCATTATCTTGCACTTATCCACATTAAATGTCAGTTGCCACAATTCTGACCATTTTTCTAGTTTACCTAAATCATTTGTCATTTGGCTTATCCCTCCTGGAACATCAACCCTGTTACATATCTTAGTATCATCAGCAAAAAGACATACCTTACCATCAAGACCTTCTGCAATATCACTAATAAAAATATTAAAGAGAATGGGTCCAAGTACAGATCCCTGAGGTACCCCACTGGTGACAAGTCCAAGCTTCGAATATATTCCATTAACTACAACCCTCTGTTGCCTGTCACTCAGCCACTGCCTTACCCATTCAACAATATTTGAATCCAAACTTAAAGATTGCAGTTTATTGATAAGCCTTCTATGTGCAACAGTGTCAAAAGCCTTACTGAAATCTAGGTAAGCAATGTCTACTGCACCACCCTGATCTATAATTTTAGTTACCCAATCAAAAAAATCAATAAGATTAGTTTGGCATGATCTCCCTGAAGTAAACCCATGTTGTCTCTGATCTTGAAATCCATGTGTTTTTAGATGCTCATCAATCCTATCCTTTAACATGGTTTCCATCACTTTCCCCACTACTGAAGTAAGGCTTACTGGCCTATAGTTGCCCGACTCCTCCCTATTACCTTTCTTGTAAATGGGCACAACATTCGCTAACTTCCAATCTTCTGGGACTACACCTGTTAACAATGATTGGTTAAATAAATCTGTTAATGGTTTTGCTAGTACACCACTAAGCTCTTTTAATAGCTTTGGGTGTATTCCATCAGGTCCCATTGACTTATTTGTCTTTACTTTTGACAGTTGAAATAGAACCTCTTCCTCTGTAAACTCACGTGTAATAAATGACTCATTTATCCTTTTTCTCAACTGAGGTCCCTTTCCTTCATTTTCTTCTGTAAATACAGAACAAAAATATTCATTGAGGCAGTCAGCCTGACCTTTATCCTCTTCTACATACCTTCCTTCTTTTGTTTTTAATCTAACTAATCCTTGTTTTACTTTTCTTTTCTCATTTATGTATCTAAAAAATGTTTTATCCCCTTTTTTACTGTCTGTGCTATTTTCTCTTCTGTGTGTGATTTGGAAGCTCTTATAACTTGCTTAGCCTCTTTCTGCCTAATCTTATAGATCATTTTGTCTCCTCACTCTGGGTTTTTTTATAATTCCTAAATGCTAACTTTTTGTTTTTAACTATTTTGGCCACATCTGCGGAGTACCACAGTGGTTTCTTGAATTTTTTGCTTTTACTGACAAGCCTAATGCAATTTTCTGTTGCCTTCAATAGTGCAACTTTTAAATAATCCCATTTTCTTGGACTCCATTTAAATTGCTCCAGTCTGATAATGACTCCTCTACCCATATTCTAATTTTAGAAAAGTCTGTTTTTCTAAAGTCTAAAACTTTTGTTTTTGTGTGGTGTGACTCAGTCACTGTTCTTATATTAAACCACACTGACTGATGATCACTGGATCCTAAACTTTCACCTACAGTAACATCTGATACAAATCTCCATTTGTTAACACTAAATCTAGTATGGCCTCTTTACGAGTTGGCTCCTCAACAACTTGTTTTAGAGACAATCCCAGTAGGGAGTTTAGAATATGTGTGCTCCTGGCACAAGTAGCTAATTTTTGTTTTCCAATTTACATCAGGAAGATTAAAGTCACCCATGATGATAACTTCCCCCTTCATTGTCATTTTAGCTATTTCCTCAACTAGTAGATTATCTAACTCTTCAATTTGTCCTGGGGGCCTATAAATCACACCTACACGAGTTACTGTGTGATTACCAAATTCTAACGTAGCCCAAACGGACTCTATGTTTGCCTCACTAACTTTTATTAGGCTGGATTTTATGCTATCCTTCACATACAAGGCCACCCCTCCCCCTTTCTTGCCTTCCCTATCTTTCCTATATAAAGAGTACCCTGGTATTGCTATGTCCCAGTCATTTTTCTCATTGCACCATGTCTCAGTAACAGCGACTAAATCTACACTATCAGTTGCCATTATTGCCACAAGTTCATGGATCTTATTCCCTAAACTGCGAGCATTTGTAGACATGACTCTAAGCTTATCATTTTTAACACACTTGCTACAGGCACCTTCTGTCCTTGTTTTGGGGGACAATTGGATTGATGTTTTATCACCCTTTTGCCCCCCCTCCTAGTTTAAATACATCCTAGCAAAACCTCTGAACTGCTCACTGAGAACATTTGTTCCCTTTTGAGAAAGATGCAGACCATCTTTTTTGTACAGTTATTTCCATTCCAAACAGAGCTACCATGAGAAATAAAGCCAAATCCTTGCTCCCGACACCATTCACCAAGCCACAAATTAAAGTCCCTAATACGCATCCGCCTGTCGTTCTGAGTGTTATGCACAGGCAGAACTTCAGAGAATGACAGTGTGGAAGCAACCTGCCGTATATCATTGGCAAAAACACTAAAAACTTCCTTAACCTCTGAAACCTCATTGCAAGCCAAGTCATTTGTCCCTAGATGGACAAGTACATCCAATTCCCCTTCCTGCTTTGCTTGCTTAACAATATTACAGATACGTCTCCTGTCTCTGTGAGCAGTAGCTCCAGGAAGACACCTCACAAGACCACCATTGTCCATCTCCACACCTCTTATAATGGAATCACCCAACAACAACTGCTTTCTATTAGGCCTCACCATAGTCTCCAAGCCGGTCTCCACAACACCACTAGTCTCAGTGCCTCTCTCCACAACAACACTAGCCTCAGTGCCTCTCTCCACAACACCACTATCCTCAGTGACTCTCTCTACAACACCACTAGTCTTAGTGCCTCTCTCCACAACACCACTAGCCTCAGTGACTCTCTCTACAACACCACTAGTCTTAGTGCCTCTCTCCACAACACCACTAGCCTCAGTGCCTCTCTCTACAACACCACTAGTCTCAGTGCCTCTCTCTACAACACCACTAGTCTTAGTGCCTCTCTCCACAACACCACTAGCCTCAGTGCCTCTCTCCACAACACCACTAGCCTCAGTGCCTCTCTCTACAACACCACTAGTCTTAGTGCCTCTCTCCACAGCACCACTAGTCTTAGTGCCTCTCTCCACAACACCACTAGCCTCAGAGCCTCTCTCCACAACACCACTAGCCTCAGTGCCTCTCTCCACAACACCATTACACTCTGAAAGTGCAGAAAATGAATTATGCAGAGCAACAGACTGTGCAAAATGCCTTTTATCCACAACTCTAAGTCTACCAGATCCTACAGTAATCCATCTGCCTTGCCTAGCATGTCTCTGCGGCAGTGGCTTTGCACTGAAGTCCCTGTTCCTCCCTGGACCATCTTCCTCCGGTGGAGAAAGGTCCGCAGCGCGCACCCCAACCGAGCAAACTGGCATCGGATTCGACTACGAGGTCTGGCGCCGTTCCGAAGATCGCGCGGCCATTCCAGGCTTCCATGTGTTGTAGCCACCATTTGATTTCCTCTTTGGCGGCACAGTCGAGAGGAACAGAGTCGGAGTATGAGTGCCCCAAACGAAGGTATTTTGCCTTCAACCGTTGAAGTGCTCTGTAATGTAGGGGTCTGGGGAAAATGGCCTGAATTGATGCCGAGAGGAGGCCTACAATCCTGGCTAGCTGTCTCAAAGTAAGGACAGGACGTGTGAGCGTCCTCCTGAGCTCCTTTTTGATGGCCTTGACCTTGGTCGCTGGGAGTAGGAGTGTTCCGGTCACCGCGTTTATGGTGAATCCCAGAAATTCTATAGCCTGCGAGGGTTCGATGACCGACTTCTCCCAGTTGATCAGAAAGCCCAGGTTTTCTAACAGATTCCTCGTCCAGGAGAAGTGTTCTTGCAACAGAAGCGGGTCCTGGGCCATGATGAGGATATCGTCCAGGTATATTATGAGCCGTACGCCCCTGCTGCGTAGGAGGGCCACCACTGGTTTCATGAGCTTTGTGAAGCACCAGGGAGCCGATGAGAGGCCGAACGGTAGGCATTGGAATCGCCACACGTTCCCTTCCCAGCGGAATTGCAGGAAGTGGTGGCAGTCGTCGGCCATTGGGACCGTGAGGTATGCGTCCTTCAAATCGAGTTTGACCATCCAGTCCCCTGTGAGGAGGAGGTCCCGTAGGGAGTGTATACCTTCCATCTTGAAATGGTGGTATGTGACAAACATGTTTAAAGGGAAAAGAACTCTCTAGAAGAGTGGGAATACCAGGAGCTGGCTAGGTGACTAATGGCTAAAATACTACTACATAGAGAATAAAAATATATATATGGTACTATGCCTTTAAATCTGGAATGGACAAAGTATCCCTATAAATGTGCAAAAATGTGAATAAAGGTGCTATGAGTGGAGATCTCAAATAAACGGGATATCCCTTTAAATATGCAAAAATACAAAGAGAATGCTGCTATACCTTTAAATGTCCTTTAAGAGTGTGCAAACATGCAAAGCAGTGCTATATAGGGGGGGTGATAAAAAAAAACAAACAAAAAAAAAAACGTATGTATATATATAAATAAATAAATAAATACAAAAATGCAAAAAGGGGAAAGATGAGAGACCAAATTCTCTGCTTGATGACCAAAAAATATGTATGAAACTGGTGTCTATATCCCAAACAACATGAGGGATAAATGATACCTGTTGCAAATAATATACTTAGTAAAAGATAGAAGTAAAAAATAATAAGCTATACAGTACAAGGAACTGTTAGCTTTAGGCAATAAAAATGAAAACTATATATCGCTGGAAAACTGAAGCATAAAACTGGATCACTTCATATAAGAAAAAATGCCAGTTTATTGAATATATTAAAATAACTTTGGAAAAAGTTAAATATAAAAATACAGGTCACACTAGATTCAGAAATGCATTACCAGACTGATGCATTGAGAAATAACAGCAATGACCTTTGGATTGTTAAGGATGGATATGGATTGTGATGATTCAATATACAGCTGCCGGTGAGGATGGCTTGTGTCTGTGAGCACGTCCCGAGCAGGAGCCTCACTTCAGGGGACGTGCAGGACAGATGCCTCCGGTGGCGGTATTTTCCAAACAGGTCCTGCGTGTGGAAATTAGTGGTGCTGCTGGTACATGCGTCTGATCCCGTGTGTTGCTGGAATGCCTGTCTTACGCGTTTCATAGGGAATGGGCCCTACTTCATCAGAGACATAAATTATTAATTATTATTATTATGTCTCTGATGAAGTAGGGCGTGGGCACTCTGCTTGTTCCGCGCCACCTTATCCAGTGGCTTTCTGATGCGGGCAGCAATATATTTCGCTACGTGGTCCAGAGGGTACCACTCGGAGGACCTCGGGTGCTGTAAGGTATCCGGGTCGAACAAAGGTTCGCCCTGCGGGTCAACCAAAGCTGAGTCGTCAGGTCCGTCCTTATGGTCCATGTCCGTGCCCGTGGCGGAGCTATAGTCCCGCAAGTGAGTCTCAGTAGAGTCCTCATTATAATCATCAGAGTCCTCCTCTTCGGACTTGCTCTGAGCCTCCTCTAGCTCCGATTCAGAGTCGGAGGATTCCAGTAGGGCTTTAGCCCTCTTCCATTTCCTCACCGATTTTGCCCGGTGGGGGGCTCTTAGTTGTGGTCCAACCACAGGTTCTGTAACAGGACGTGCCCTGTCCGTCTGTAGGGTTTTGGAGGCATAATCGTCCAAATGACGTGATTTTTTAGCGGCCTTACGCCCACTAGGGGCCACCGGCTTATTCTCTGGGGGGTTAGCCACGGGGTTAGCAGGTAATTGCGTGGCTCTCATCGCCGTAGTTATGGAATGGGATAAATTCTCTGACATGGCACCCATGGCAGTAACTATGGCCTGCGTTACAGACTTCGTCATAGCCGCGTCTAAGAGGGAATGCAATTCCTCTGAGTCCATATGCTCTTGCGCTGTGTCCAACGCAGTGGGCATTTTGGGGCCCTGTAGGGGAGGGGTGGGCATGGTGGCCCTAGATGTAGTGGCACTATAAGCACTGTGGTCAGCCTGCATGTTTGGGATGGATGGCAGAAAATTATATAGGCAAGGCTGAGACTTACAACCCTAGCACAGGTAATAAAGTGACTAACTCCCAACCACAGTAATGCTAGAAAAAAAAAATATATATATATATGTTATCAGGCACCAGACACCAATGTTGGCAAGGCACAACAGAAAAATATATAAAGAAACAATTGCAGCAAGCTCACCGAGTGTTCCCTCAGGAATAAGCTCCTGGGGAACACAGGGAGAGTTTGCCCAACGACAGGGAGTAAATCCCGCCCCCAAAAGCACAGTATTGGCCGCGCTAGCAAAACTGCCCTTCCCCAAGATGGCCGCCGCGATGCGCACTTGCGTTGTGCGCATGCGCGGGCGGCCGCGACCGCGGTTACCGCGGGCCGCCGGGACAGCGACCGGCAGCAGTACCCGTGCGTGGGGAGGCAAACCCCAAAGGGGAGAGGGCGGCAAGAGGAGACACAAACGGTCAGGAAATAAACAAACCGACCGGAGGTAGGGGGGGGGAGGGGGCAGGGAAGCTAGAGAGGGGAAACCACAATGAGGGTAAAGACCCAAACGGCTCAATTAAAAGAGAAACAATACACAAATAAACCCTGAGGGGAAAAAAGAAACCATTTAAAGACAAAGTTACTGAAAAACCAAGTTAGTAACTGACAGCAACAGAGGAAGGAGAAATTTTTTTTACTTATCTGAGGCTGCAGCAGCAAAAGAAAGAGGAGTGGCTTAGGGTCACATGGGACTTTGTGGTAATGGGGACACTCTGATTGGTTCATATGTGGTATCTGATTAACCCTTTAGAAGTATGATGTGGTGTTATTGAATTGTTTTTTCCTTTTTTGCATTGAATATATATACTATATTTCTTTTGCTGCTGAAGAATAAAAGAAAGAGAGAAGCATAATAGGAGCCTCCATGTCCTTTAATAAAATCAGGTGCCTGCTCTACCATAATAAAAGCCCCCCCCCCCCCAAAGAGGTTTTTGTGCCCCTTCCTGAGGTACCCTAAGGTGCCTGCCTTAGGCTTATGAAAGCCCTGCGTGTCTTTCTTGTGGGCACACAAAAAAAAAAATCACAATGCAACTACCATATCATAAATCATTTAAACGTTGGTGTTTCCTTGTTTTGCAGATAATCAATATCAATACAGGAACAATGTAAAAGCTTTTGTTTGCACTACAGCTACATGTGATTACCAACACACCCTAGAAATGTCCACGTATAAACTTGGCAGTATGCAACAAGACTAGGAGAATAATATCGTAAACTGCAAATGTATGCTTGGTTAGCAAAATCTGGTGAAAATCGCTGTATATTTACTAAAGGCAAATCTGGTAGATAGTCAGTGGTTAGAACCGAATGAACATTTTATACAGTCCAGTGTCAGCAATTCATACATTTAAAAAGTATAGGATATGCATAGATATATTTCTACCAGATGTATATACTATTGAGAGGCTAACCCACAAAAAAAAAATAGATATTCACCTGCATTCTGCTGGCAAAATTGAGCACTATTTGATCACATATAACAATATATATAACCGTGAACTGAGCATTAAGAGAAAATAATTTTATTGTGGGGTTCTGGAAAAAAGTCAAGACTGAAGGTTTATAAATATCTCCAGAACCCCAAGATGGCATTTTGTTCCCCTAATATATGTTTCACTATTATGTATCTTTTATAGTACATGGTATTATAGGCTAGGTCTGCTTTGTTAGGGCTAGTGTTACTGTAAGTGCTGTAAGTGCTGGTGTAGTGTAGATTTTAAGGGGAGGTGTTTGATGTTCACAATTAGAGGGAGTTGCCGCTCAGGAGTGTAACTCCCACTAACATTGGGCAGACCGTTCTTGTAGACCAGGGCTGCCCAACAGGTAGATCCCCAGATGTTGTCTCCCATGATGTTTTGCATGCCTTTAGAATGCATTTAGAATGACAAAGCATCATGGAAGTTGTAGTTCTACAACATCTGGGGATCTGCCTGTTGGGCAGCCCTGCTGTAGATTGTAAGCTTCTTTGAGCAGGGTCTTCATCTAATTATTGTTCCTGCATCGTTCTGTAATTGTTTCATTTATATTAAATTTCCCTCTTTTATAAAAAAAATAGTGCTGCGGAATAAGCTGGTGCTAAATAAATACCAATAATAATAATAATTATGGAGAATAATTGTAGTGTTATTTATACATGTGTATCTAGATAAAATTTAAAGGCTGAACTTGATGAGTTTGAGTCTTTCTTTTAACCTAGATTACAAGATTACTAACCTATGTCACGACAGTGATAAAGCTCATTAGTTAGTGATGTTGTATTTTTAATAGCTGTTTAAACCTAGGTCTTGATTTCTGGTAGGATCAATTAAGTGTTTCACCCTAACAAAGTCATGAACCTGAATATGTCTCAGGATATGTTTGGTTAAATCAAACTTTTCAGCCAGTCTGAACTTGCATATAAACAGTGTGTGCTCAGAGTTTCTGAACAGTTAAATACAAATACTAGCTCAACATGAAAGTGGCATAAAAATCTAGAGGGTAATGGTACATGGGTACCAAATGTTGACTGATCCCAGGAATGCCATCAGAAATCACTGGGATATATTTTGGCCCCCCACACATACTACCAGACATGCACATAGACGCATACTCATACAAATTCCTATACTCACACCGGTACACTCTCCCAAACACACACACTGATACACAATCACAGATGTACAATCCAAGCTTCTTGTACATATTTAAAAAATACCTGTACACATTAACAGACACAAACCCTCACACATATATACACTGCTAGACACACACAATATGAGATGACACACATTGCCAAATACAGATACACATTGCAAATATTCTGATATATAATGATCCAATCTTTTCTCCCCCCAACTTTACTCTCCATCCCCCGCCACTGTGACCAGACGGGTAACACCTGAAAGCAAAGGGAGGGTGGGTGGGACAACAACAGGTAAGTGCAACTTAGATTAAAATGGCCCCTTTTTATACTCCCCTTATAACTTCACCCAACTTCCATTTTCTTAACCAATCCCTAGCTAACTGTAACTAGGTGCCTGTCTCCTAGCAATTTCAAAGCCCACTCCCCTTAGCTACACTGCTCCATGGGCTACATGACATTTGCATAGTCGCCTTATAGGCATATGCATAACCCCACCATTACCGATTTACCAATAAAACACTGACACCATGATTTTGGCAAAATTATATCACAGCTTTATTAATTATTAGCAGTAAATTTAAAGGTCATTGTCAACAGCATGCCAACATTGGCTTGCACAATTTCCATCCTGCATTTTACCATTTAAACCCCCTGACAATGACCCACTCCTACATAAACATAATACCCAAAACATTGTAACACCATGTACTTAACATTGAACATATCACCATTGCCACCAAAGGGCACCACAAGTGTAGGGGCATACTGAGACACCCCTACACACCCAGGTTCGGAGCTACCGACGAGCTCAAACATACCAAACCAGTTCAAAGGGGTACCTATTAGCCCTGAACTCCAAATGTTACCCCATCTCACTCTTTTCTCCCCCCAACTTTACTCTCCATCCCCCGCCGCTGTGACCAGACTGGTAACACCTGAAAGCAAAGGGAGGGTGGGTGGGACAACAACAGGTAAGTGCAACTTAGATTAAAATGGCCCCTTTTTATACTCCCCTTATAACTTCACCCAACTTCCATTTTCTTAACCAATCCCTAGCTAACTGTAACTAGGTGCCTGTCTCCTAGCAATTTCAAGGCCCACTCCCCTTAGCTACACTGCTCCATGGGCTACATGACATTTGCATAGTCGCCTTATCGGCATATGCATAACCCCACCATTACCCATTTACCAATAAAACGCTGACACCATAATTTTGGCAAAATTATATCACAGCTTTATTAATTATTAACAGTAAATTTAAAGGTCATTGTCAACAGCCTGCCAACATTGGCTTGCACAATTCCATCCTGCGTTTTACCATTTAAACCCCTGACAATGACCCACTCCTACATAAACATAATACCCAAAACATTGTAACACCATGTACTTAACATTGAACACATCACCATTGCCACCAAAGGGCACCACCCATTGCCACCAAAGGGCACCACAAGTGTAGGGGCATACCGAGACACTCCTACACACCCAGGTTCGGAGCTACCAACGAGCTCGAACCTACCAAACCAGTCCAAAGGCCTACCTATTAGCCCTGAACTCCAAATTTTACCCCATCTCACTCTTTTCTCCCCCCAACATTACTCTCCATGCCCTGCCACAGCTCAGAGCTTGACTCCTCAAGCTCCTGAGCGCCTCCCTCCCCCAGGAAAAAGAGTGCCCTCTGTACGCCGTCCAGAAAATCCAACAACAGAAAATCCAAACCCACTTCGGAGAGATGGACCCCATCATGCCTATAATAACCTGGCAACATGTCTTCCAACTCCCTATGCCGAATCACAACCCCTCCCAACCACTTTACATACGCTGCCATCACCTTGTTGACTTTCCCCTTAATCTTGGCCACTGCGGAGGACTTCCGCGTATGCCGCCAGTGCAACCTCGGAACCATTTCTGACCATATGACCATAACCCCCGGCACTAACTCTCTCAGCTTGTCCACATCCCTCTTCATACTCGCAATCAACTCCTTCTGTGCTACCAGCCCCACATCATTGACCCCTGCGTGAAGCACAACCATGTCCGGAACCTGCCCCAAACGAATTTTGTTAAACATTTCCAAACAAATTGCATTCCAGCCCCAACCCCGGTAACCAAACCACCGAAGCTGAACCATGGATCACGGAAAGCCCAGCTGTAGACCATGACGGCAAACTGCAGCTCTCCAATGCGCCCAATATATATACGAATGGCCTACCACCATGCCGTCCAACCTGTAAAACATAACGAGAACATAGACAAACACAAAACAAAACAACATAATACCACTGTCCACCACCAACCACCCCTAGGACTTACACCAACTTATCCGGCCTGACGTAGGATCTAAACCTCACCGACTCCCACCTGCCAATCCTCTTCACCAGCTCATCCCCCAGGCCAAGTCTCGCAGCCTCAGTTGCCGTGCCAATTATAAAGGAATGCGTCCTGAATTGGCCCGGGTCCACCCCCAGCCTTGACAATGCCATCCAAAAGACCCTGAGGAACTGAAACTTTGATAGGGAAGAGCCGTCTGCATGCCTAAAAAAGGAACCTGAGGCTTTCGCCCGAGCCTCGCGGAAGGCTGCTGCGCACCTGACTGGGCACACTTCCCCACCCGGAAGGTCCCACAATGTAACCAAACTCCCTTTCCCCAACACGTCTGTTTTGGAACGCCTCAAATTGATCACCACCATATTAGTCCATACTTCCACGTCTACCGCCTGATGCCCCCGGCCTCAAGGCGATTGCTGCTGACCAGCTCGCTGACTCGAAATGCCCTGAAAAAGGCAAAACTAAAAACTACTGCGAACAATACGACTTCATAGCCTGAAAAGAACACCTCGAGCAGTACACTGACCACCCGCTGTAGCAATTCGAACGACACCGGTCTCCTGGAATCAACCGACACCTTGCCCCTCCTAAAACCTTTTAACGCTTGACCTGACAAGGAAATGTTTTATGACATCCTCCCAACCGGAAAACTTGAACAGAAAGGTCTAAGCTGCTAACTTACGCCCGACTACCGCTGACGAGGCCCCTGAGACGAACAACCTACAAAGGAACCACATTAACGAGTCCAGCCGAGCCTCCCGCGATAGCTGACCCCCCCTATGCAGCACCAGCTCATCCCACTCTCCCCACACCTTACTGTACGCCGTCCAGGTAGTGGGTGCCAGAGAGTCTCTGATCAGTCCGCCAAGCATGAGGTCCCAAACCGCCACATCTCGTCCGGGCATGACATCCCTTCCGCTTGTGCACCAGGCGCCACCTGCCGAAACCTCTCCCACTGCAAATGAGACAACGCATCAGCTATAACATTCAACAATCCAGGCACGTGGCGTGCCCGGAAAACAGTATTAAACTGCATACAGAACAAGACAAAACGGCGAAGAAGCCGCATTACCGGGATAGAGGATGCTGAAAGCCCATTTACTGCATCTACCACCGTCATATTGTCCGAAAAGAATATAACCTTCTTATCCTGCAACTGTGGATCCTCCTCCTTGAGGTTAAGGTAGTCCTCCAGGGGGAGAAGCAAAAAGAGCTCCACGAACTCCCCTTTCCAAATCCGCTCCTTCACCTCCAGTTTTAAGTGGCAGCCTAAACGGCCCGCGAAAGAAACGTGTACGTTCTGCCGGGCAGCCTCCGGGATTCGCCCAAGTAAAGTGGCCCTCTCACTCGGCAGCTCAGGCGCCGCTACCACGGAGATCGCACCCAACTCCTCGTCCACGCTGCCCCCAGCCACCGCAACCCCCACTGGACTTGACCCTGAAACATCCCCCTGCGGAGCCCATACTTGGCTGCAATCCCTGACTCTCCCTTTACCCGCACCCCAAGAATCAATTAAATGCTTGATGCCATCTAACAGCTCCCCTGACTGCTGCAAAGACAATGTCTCACCTTCTGAACCCCTTGCCACCGAGGGCCATGGGGGTGCCGACCGACCATGGCTGTCCTGACCCAAGTACTCCGCTGCTTTGAGCCGTACTCCCGAAGTGCCAAATTTCACCTGATCCACGGGCGACCGTGAAGACGGCTGTCCAGCGACCGGGTCCACCTTGTCCGCAGGCGACCGTCCTGCTGTCCTCAGAGCGCGTGATCTCACCCTCCCCGAGGGCGACCGTCTTTGCGACCTGCAAGGAGAAGACATCCTGGGTAGGCTGACCGTGATAACACTACCCATCCCCTCTCCTTGTGGGAACCGTAATCTAGCTCCCCACTATCCGTCTGGCCCTTAGGACGGCGAGCCGGTGCAGGTGCAGTATGGCTACCTCCACGTTCAACTACCGAACGTTCAGCAGTTTTCTTACCTCCCAGTTCGGCATACGAACGGTCAGCAGTGTTTGCACCTCCACGTTCCCCCCTTGAACATTCGGCAGTTCTCGTATCTCCGTGTTCGCCTCCCGAACGTTCGGCAGTTTCAGCCCCTTCGCCATTTCCCCTACCTCCACCTTCTTTTCCCGAACGTTCTGCAGTTTCTGATTCAGTTCCCGAACCAGCAGCCAGCAACTCCAACCTCGCTTGACACCCCGTTCGTGCGGCAGCACTGCGACGCCTCCCGCGTCCTCCTCCACTTGCGGCCTTCTCACCAGCAGCCTCACCGCTGCTCCATGGGCTACATTCCAGTCAGATCATAGGGCTGGTCTAATGATCCTGGTAAATGCAGTTCAGTTTGGGGAGATATTTTGGTTTTCCTAACCACATAGTGTTAAACTGACTTTCAATACCCTGATTGATCTGCTTGTTCAGAACTCTAGAGAAGTATGTTACTGGTTTAAATAAAGTTGTATTTTATCCTCAAGATTATATATATATATATATGTGTGTGTATATATATATATATATATATATATTTAGCATTTTACAGTACACACTTCTGTTAGTGGCATTTAAAAGTTTGACCAAATAATATAGAGACTGGTAGGAAAGATACTGTTAGTGAGAGTCACTCATCTGTAACAGACCAGATTGTTTTTTTAGGCAACATTCCTCTATTCCAATAAAAGCCAGGTTGTTAGTGATGTATTAATACATAGATATGTACCATGCAGTATGCTATAAAGATTTAGCCAGTACAGCTATTAACTGTGAAAGATTGTGCATTGCAATGTCTGTCTTTACAAGTGTCAATGAAATTACAGTTCTGGGCTACAATCACTGTGGTTCTCTTTGTCTGTTTCTGAAAACATCTGCACAGATCATTTTAGAGAAACCTAACGTGGGACGGGCCTTTCTTTGGGTGAGTCACATCTATAAGTTAGTTTCGCTTTGGCTGCAAGAAGGCACAAGTACCAGCTGCACCATCTCCCTTGTTTTGTATTCATGTGCACACAGCCTCAGCTCAAAGAAAATGCCCTGTTGTGAATATACAACAAAAAAAGAAGTTCGAATCAGGAGTGTTCCATTGGGGACTTTAAAATATCTGATCACCCTAGCTGTGTTCTTATACATGTGGTGAGTACCGATAGAATGTGATTTTTATTTAAATGCTCTGTATAGAAGATCCCAATGTTGGGTGTTGGTAAATTACTGGTTAGTCTATAAAGCTGAATGTATTTAAACAGCTGCTAATATGCACTAATCGTACCCTTTGCAGACAAATGAAAATACTATTACTTAAGGGATATATTGTAACTGTGTCTGCAAATTCAGGAAATATCCCTGAAATTACACTTTGAATATTTACTAAAGGTAGGTCATAGTCAAATTCCTATATTAGATCTGGAGGTGCAATTTCATTTAATAACAATTCTACACCTGCTAAAAACAAAACAATAAAATGAGAGAGAGTGAAAGAAAGACCAAAGATGTTATGCAGGAGTTTAAAATTTACAAAAAATCTGTGATTCTCTCAAGTCCCACAACAGAAGGAGTTTGCATTACTAGTCTCGCCCAACTCTCACACACAAAGCTGCATCACAAATATTACAGAGCCAAATCACAGATATACTACTTCACGTTCAGGTGTATAACTCCCACCACACACATTTAGCCCAACCATAACATGCAATTAATACTAGCATTTATAGAGCCCCAACATATTCTTCATCTTAGAACAAACTACAATTTTCATCACACACAATATACATTCCATGACACAACTATGCCAGTCACACACATACAGCCTCACACACAAACACATACATATTCTTCAGCGCTTTACATCATAGAACAAACCACAATTTTCATCACACACTATACACACAGGATACACTATACAAATTCCATAACACAACTATGTCAGTCATGCACATACAGCCTCACACAACTCAGACAAATATGTTGGAAGAGATAAGTCTAGTGATGGGGAGGGAATACTATCATAGAAAAGCAACACAGTTCTGTTTGTCATGGTGAATGGTTAGCTAGATTCTCAAGCTCTTTGGTGAATCTGCAGGTTTTACTTGTGCATGGGCATATTCAGTGTTTAAAGGGGAACTTCTTTATGGGGAATAGGCATAGCATAGGTTATGAGTAGATTCTCAGAATAATATTTTAAACGTGCACTTGTTCTATGAATTTGGACTCATGGTTTTGAAGGAAAATAGGCAGGTTCGGAATCCTGTTAACAATTCTACTCCTATGGAAAAGACAGGTTGAGACATTAGAGTGAAAGTTGTGCTGCATGTTAAAGGACCAATATAGGCACCCAGACCACTTCAGCTCAATGAAGTGGCCTGGCTGCCAGGTCCCCCTAGTTTTAACCCTGCACCTAAAACCATAGCAGTTTCAGAGAATCTCCCTGACAGCCACGAGAGGCCGCTTCTGCGATTTACACAGAGTAAATCACAATTTTTTGACGCTGGACATCCTCATGGAGTCCAGTGTCAAAAAAGATCCCCATAGGAAAGCATTGAGTAATGCTTTACTATGGGCAGGTTTAAATGCACACTCGCCTCTGGCCGCGCATTCGCATTTGGCTCCACTTGGAAGCTGACGTCGATAGAGGAGGAGAGGTCACTGGATTAAGGTAAGCAAATAAATGGTTCATTAATCATTTATTTAATGCGTAACTGGGCCCCTTGTCACCTAAACGGTGACTAGGCTCTATAGTGTTCCTTTAAGGTTAAAGCAAGCATCAAATAGTTACAGTTTTACTGTGATGAGTCAAGTTAATTTTTATAGTGCACAATTTTACCCTTCATAACTAAGTTTGTCCCTGGCATACAAACATTTGATAGAAGTAGAACATCATTTTTATTTATACTTTGCTTTTCATGGATACCTTACAATTTTATTTATGTCAAATAACACAATTTTACTTTATTTTATTTTAATTTATTAGATCAAGAATTACAGATTTATTATATAAAATAACTGTAAGTAAAGGTGCACAGATGCGAACACCTATTCTATACAGGAAAGTTTGCATGTATGGGAAAGAAGAGGTTAATGCAGTAAAAATACTATATTTTGACTGGTTTGATGCATATAGCTACTCAGAATACATGTGGAATTCAAACAATGATCAGTGATCTAAAAAATCTTCAGGCAAGAACACTGCTTTATATAAACAGAACTAGCACACACAGACCATGTTGGATCAGTGTGGGTAGAGCTCCTGAACACTAACAGGGATGGAGAAGGAAGTGGTCAGAGCACCCAAATATAGAAAATACCAAAAGCCTAAGTGTAACAAACAAGCTTTAAAAACTGTCTTTACACTTTTAGTGTAAATAGTGTTCCAAGGCAGAAGGACTCAATCACAGTTAAATATATATAGTTTGTAGAATTCTTTGTTTCATGCAATGTCCACTTTGTGACTGCCAACTGTAGTACTTTCAGCGGGGCAGTCACAATTTTGGGTTCCTGGCCACAATCCTGATGTAGTTCTGGATGTCCTGTATTCGGAGACACCAGGAAACTCTCCCCAAACAGCACAGTAAAAGCACATGATTAGACGCACATGCACGGTGCATTGGGCATTAAGATCATGCAAGGACCACTTCAGCAACACTTTCTGCATGGTCCTGCAGGTTTGGAGCTGGCTGGGAGGTTGTCTGTCAGCTCTGTGTGCTTGATCCCAGGCTGAAATACCGCTTCCCAGGTAGTCCTTCCAATTATGGGTGACATCAGTAGTGCAATTTCGGTCACTGGTGATGCTCCCTGGAAAGCCAGCCCACCTGTCCTGATTTCATACCTTCCACTGTTGGGAGGTATGCCCTGAGCTCACATTATGGTATACAGGTCACTGCCTGCTGTTTACATTGAAATGCACAGTCCATAGTAAAATGAATGATATGTTTTCCATAGAATTTTACTTTTCTTTAGAAGTTATTCATTTATTTTAAAATCACATTATTTGATTTGTTTTATTTTTTTTTTACATGCAGTTGTATTTTGTTCATTGAAAAGGGCTATCAGAAAAAAGACTCCGTTATCAGTTCAATTCACACAAAGGTTAAAGGAGTTTTAGATGCTGATAATAGGATCTGGGACACTGCAGAATATACAATACCATCCCCGGTAAGTCACATTACAAATGTTTCACATACCTGTAATAGACTTAATGGGATAATCTGGGCACTTATACAAATGCAATGCATTAGAAAGGTTTTGGCCTCACTTTATTTTGTATGCTTGCATCTTTATAGTTTTTGCACAAAAAAAACTTATTTTGCAGAATGCTGATCATAGACCTGTCTTCTAAGTCACACCTCAGTTAAAATAAATCAATTAGAATCAATGATTCAAAGAGCTCTGGGTATACAGTCATGCGAAAAAAACAAGTACACTCTCTTTGAATTCTATGATTGTACATATCAGGACATAATAACAATCATCTGTTTTTTGGCAGGTGCTAAAATTAGTTAAATACAACCTCAGATAAACAACAACCCATGACATATTACACCGTTTCATGACCTATTTAATAAAAATAAAGCCAAAAAACTAAGCACACCTTATGATTCAATAGCTTATACATCCACCTTTAGCAGCAATAACTTGAAGTAGTCATTTTCTGTATGACTTTATCAGTCTCTCACATCATTGTGTATTAATTTTAGCCCACTCTTTACATCGTTGCTTCACATCATTGAGGGGTGCTGGCCTTTGTTAATGCACATCTCTCTTAAGGTCCCTGGACAGCATCTTGACAGGTCTGAACTTTGACTGGGCCATTGCAACAACTTGATTATTTTCTTTTTTAGCCATTCTGTTGTAGATATGCTTGTGTGCATGGGATCATGGTCTTGTTGCATGATACAGTTTCTGACAAGTTTTATCTGTCGGACAGATGGTCTCACATTTGACTCTAGAATACCTTGGCATACATGGGAGTACATGGTTGACTCAATGACTGCAAGGTTCCCAGATCCTGTGGCTCCAAAACAAGCCCAAATCTTCACCCCTCTACCACAGTGCTTGACAGTTGGTATGGTTTGTGCTGATATGCAGTGTTTGGTTTTTGGAAAACATGGCACTGTGCATTATAGTCAAACATCTCCACGTTGGTCTCATCTACCAAAGGAAATAGTTTCAGAAGTCTTGTGGTTTGTTCCATACAACATTGCAAACCTAAGTTGTGCTGCCATGTTATTTTTAAAGAGAAGAGGCTTTCTTCTGGCAACTTCTTCCAAATAAACCATACTTGCTCAGTCTTTTTCTAATTGTACTGTCATGAACTTTAACATTTACCATGCTAACTGAGGCCTGTAGAGTCTGAGATTTTTTTTGCAATTTTTCTGAGCATTGCAAGGTCTGACCTTTGGGGACAATTTGCTGGGACTTCCACTCATGGGAATATTGACAACAATCTTGAATATTTTCCATTTTTGAATAATCTGTCTCACTGTAGAATGATGAACTTTAAATTGTTTGGAAATGGCCTTATTACCCTTCCCAGTTTGATGGGCAGAAACAATTGCTTCTCAGATCATTACTGATGTCTCTCCTCCTTGGCATTGTGTTAACACGCCTAAATGCTCAAGACCAGCAAACTGCTTTATAGGTAATCACACTTGCTAATGATCAATTACCATATTAATTCCTATGGAAGCAGTGACTTAGTACTTTGTTTTTCACACTTGGCTTCCCCATTTTGTCTTTATTTTTGTTAAATAAATCATGACACGGTGTAATATGTTATGTGCTGTTGTTCACCTGGGGCTGTAATTACCTAATTTTAAGTTCTGCTAAGGAACAGATGATTGATATTATGTCCTGATTTGTAAAACCATAGCATTCAAAGAGGGTGTACTTTATTTTTCCCATGACCTCTGCGAACACACAAATAAACTGCAGGATTTAATGGCATTAGCATTTAAAGATCTCTGACTGAATAATTTTATACACACAATAATCCACTTTTGTAAAGTCGATACCAAATGTCTGCACAACATGCCAATGGACAGACTAACTGCTATAGTTTACGATACTGTGAAATCATTCTATTTGGTATGGTTCCGTGTCTAGATTACAGAGACATCATGAACTTTACCATTGGTCACTCAGCTTAGTCCACCTTACAGCACACCCTACCAGCGCACCCTACCCTCTCTTTTTCTTTTTTGTTCATCGCTTGTCATTTCTCTCTTCCATGCTCCTCTCTGGTGCTATATTACTTTACATTTATAAAATAACATTTCTCTGGCTATAATTTAGCTTTGTTATAAAGTTAACCACTAATACTGGACCATTAAATCTACATATATACAAAGGCAAATATTTAGTCTCCTATAGTATATAAAGAACAGGTCTTAATGTATAACATGCACTATACTAAATCTACTATAATTATTATAGGGATAGTTATCAAGGCTCAAGTTCAACTTATTACACATCCATGTTTCTACTGCTGATCCAAAAAATATATATGAAGAGCTGTTTACAATTTTGTTTTAAAAACATTCTGACTCCAGATTTTAAATTGAGGTTAACTATTACTAATTACTACACGGTGTATGCATTGAATGGAACATGGTTTACAAATTACACATGTAAAGTAAATACTGATTAATGGACCATAGAATGAGGAATACTAACGTGTTCCGAACGCTATCGTGTTTTACTAAATACTTAGATGAACCCCCACAAATGCAATAAAAAAGTCACCTTTTAGCCCCATGCAGCCCTGACTCCATCGCTGAGATAATCAGTCAAGATGATCTCAGCCAATGCTACCTCAAAGGAAAAATCGCAATGTTGCACCAATCAGTATCTCCTCAGAGAGGCAATGAGTGTTTAGCGCAGAGACGCTGAACGCTGGTTCTGCAATCTTTGCAGGACCAAACCCGGGAAGTCCCTCTAATGGCTGTCAGAGTAATAGCTGCTAGATGTGATTATAGGCAGCAGTGCAAACACTGCCTTTTCTCAGGAAAGGCAGTGTTTGCTCTGCTGAACATGCAGGGACAGGCTTTATTTCCCAGAATCTATACATCAAGCTGTAATGGTTCTAGTGAAGATAGTGTCCCTTTAAAAGGATATTTCAGAGAGGCTCCTATTTGAAACAATTCAAAGCTTCAGAACACAACTACCGACAGGATGTGGACAAGGTAAAACCATGTGACAAAGGTGTGCATGTGCAGTTCTTCGCACACTGAAAAAAGTGGAACCAGTTGTGCATGTGAAACACAGACAAAAAGATTCTCACGCATGCATGATTATGATAGGTACTGTAATGACCTAAAAAAACTACTTTGTCATACTTTTTACAGTTTTTTATCTACCCCTTCTGATATAAAGATGAGTTGCTAGATATTTAATTTTCTCAGAATAATAAATTCACCTTGACAGTAAAGTAAAATACTTGGCAAAAAAAAAAGTTTCCCATAAAGAGCGCTTTGACAGTGCCCTGCACATGGGAAACCTTTGTCATGGATGGCACACATCCCTTTTCACATCTGATGCTGGCAAATGTGAAATAACCCATAAAAAATTACAGTGTTCGGTGTTTAAAATGTTTAATTAAATAGACTAAAATTATCTGGGGAGGAGCTAGTATCCGAGCTGAGCAGTCGCATTACCAAAAGCTGGACTTTGGGCAGAAATTAACTAAATTTACTCACCGATTATTGTCACTATGGGCTCATTGACCATGAGACGCAAATCTAAAAAAAACTAAACCGTATCGGCCTTACCATGATTTGGGTGATTTATTCGTCTGCAGAGAGCAGACTCAATGTGGTGTCAGACGTCGAAGATGACACCGACTCCTCTCCATGGAAGATTTGAGCTTCCAGGATCCCTCCAGGTTTCCACAAACCGATAATGAGGACTCATCCCCGCTGCCAAAAGGCATTCTTAGGACCCATTGGTGGATCCCCAACAAAATATATCTGCGGGCATTTCTCAATTCTAGGAAGATATTAAAGGATTCTCCACCAGACATAGCTATGTTGAAGAGATCATGACCTCTCAGTGTACCAAACTTGTGGAGCTGAACAAAACGTGCATTCTGGCATGTTTACTCCCTTCTGGTTTAGAGAGACGTGTATACTGTACTGCTCTTTCATCATTATCAGTCAATTTTGAATGTAACGTAATGCATATATCCGATGACCTAAAATTATCATTATTAATATTAATATTATAATATCAAAGTTTTTACTAATTGCGCATTAACCATTCTTAATTCATGATTAAACCAAAGGCACAAAACAGCATCAAACTTAGAAACTGAGATCAGATCAGGAAGTCAGACAAGTCATGGCATACATAGATTCAGGGCTGCCATCAGACATTTACGCCTACAGGGCCTGCCACTCATTTCACCACCATCTCGTAGACACTTTGAGCTGCAGTAGGTGATGTATGTGTGTTTGTAGGGGATGTAATGTGTGTGTTTACAGAATGTTGAGTATGTGTATAGGGACCCAATGTGTGTAGGGGATGTAGTATGTGTGTTGTGGATGCTGTGTGTTTTTCAAGGAGGAAGTGTTCGTATATAGTGAATGCAGTGTTAATTTTGTCGACTAACAATTTTTGTCAGTTAAGTCAACTAAATTTTGGAGACAGTGGCGTACTAAGGGGGGACGGAGGTGGCGGTCCGCCCCGGGTGCCACCAGGGTGGGGGGTGCCTTGGGAGGGGGCGCCGCCAGGAGCGCCGGCCCCCCTCATGCTGCAGGCGCCTGAGCACTCTGCAGAGAGCCTCAGGCGGCTGCAGCTTTGCCCGCCCATGCGCAGCCTGAGGAGAGGGGCTGACAGGAGGGAAGCGCTCAGCTCCCTCCTGTCACTCCCTCAATGTAGCGTGGCCGAGCCCTGTAGTCCTTGGTACAGGGAGCATCTGTCTCCTGTACCCGACTAACAGGAAGTACACTGAGTGTTCATTTCCTGTAGTCCGGCCGGGTACAGAAGCTCCCTGTACCCGCTGACCCTATATAGAGCTCGCCACGCAGGAGGTGGTGGGGGGAGAAATTGGGAAGGGGGGATAAATAAAGATTGGGAGGGGGGGAGGGGATAAGGAAATTGGGAGGGATAAAGATTGGGAGGGGAGTTGGGGATAAAGAAATATTGGGAGGTGGGGATTAAGAAAGATTGGGAGGGGGGTGATAAAGATTGGGAGGGGGATAAAGAAAGATTGGGAGGGGGATAAGGAAATTGGGAGGGGGGATAAATAAAGATTGGGAGGGGGGATAAATAAAGATTGGGAGGGGGATAAAGAAAGATTGGGAGAGGGGGAAAAGGAAATTGGGAGAGGGGAGATAAATAAAGATTGGGAGGGGGATAAATAAAGATTGGGAGGGGGGATAAGGAAATTGGGAGGGGGGGAGATAAATAAAGATTGGGAGGATAAAGAAAGGTGGGAGAGGATAGGAAGTAGGAGGAGACAAATAAAGATGGGGGATAAAGAAGATTAGGGATAAATAAAGATTGGGGGATAAATAAAGATTGGGAGAAGGAGGGTATAAAGAAAGATTGGGAGGGCAGAAAGAAATTGGGGAGGGAGAAGGAAATTGGAGGGGGATCAAGAAAGATTGGGGGTATAAAGAAAGAAATTGGGAGGGGGAGAAGGAAACTGGAGAGGGGGGGATAAAGAAAGATTGGGAGGGGGATAAAGAAAGAAATTGGGAGGGGAGAAGGAAATTGGAGGGGGGGATAAAGAAAGAAATTGGGAGGGGGGAGAAGGAAATTGGAGAGGGGGATAATTACACACACTTAATGCACCCCTTACACACACTCAATGCATCCGTACATACACAGAAACACACCTTGCAGCCCTTACACATACAAACACAGATTCACACAATGCATTCCTTACACGCATATCAGGACATCCCCTACACACTCCACCCCCTGTGAACAAACTCATTGGTGGAACATGAAGGTGGACCCTGGGACCCAGACCTTGAGCTGTGTAAAGGACCCCCAAAAAATGGAGCTGCTTCCTGTTCTCCCAGAACATTGATTTTTGTGACCACAGTTACAAACCGCCTCCAGAGAGCCTGTTCTACACCAGACCAGTGGAGCCAGACTGCAGCTAGAGCCCATCATCATCCTCATCTGGTTGTAAGTAGGCAATCTAGTATATTATTCGTGGCACTAATCTCTAATTTACCTCACATTAAAGAAACACTATAGTCCCCAGAACCACTGCAGCTTAATGTAGTGGTTCTGGTGTCTATAGCCTGTCCCTGCAGGCCTTTTAATGTAAACACGGCGGCACTGCAGCACTGGCGTTAGATAACATGGCAAATCATATGGGTGGGGCATTGTGATGTCACATGGGGGGGCGTCAAACTTTACTTTTGCCTAGGGCGGCAAAAATCCTTGCACTGGCCCTGGCTGGAGGGGGCTGTGTGAGCTGTGGCCGCACAGTGCCCCATGGTAGTTAGGGTACAGCTGACACAAGCAAACAGCTGATAAACTGGCCGCACGGAGGAGAAGTGGGGCAGAGCTAAGCAAAATCGGAGGCGCAGCCAAACTGGCGCTGGGGGCGGGGCTTGGGGGCAAGGGGGTGCCAAGCACAGGATCTGCTCCAGGTGCCAAATGCTCTAGGTACACCCCTGTTTGGAGATTTAGTCTTCTAAAACTAGATTAAAACGAAGACAATTCAGATGACTAAAATACAAGTAAAACTAAAATGGCTTTTTAGTCAAAAGAATATAACTAAAATTAAACTGAAATTTGCTGCTAAAATTTACACTTGCGGGTAAGACACACGAGGAGCCTGGGGAAATGAGACACATAGAGGGACTGGGGGGGAAATGAGCACATAGAGTAACTTGGGTGGAATGAGACACAGGGAGGGGCTGGGGGGAGGAATTGAGACACTTGTGGCTGGGGGAATGAGACACATGGGGGAGGTCAGATGCGTGGAGGGGCTGGGCAAGACTTAAAGTGACATAGAGGTGCTGGGGAGAAAGAGGCAAGATGGTGGGGGAAGAGATACACAAATAGAGCTGTGGAGAGAAAGAGGCACACACAGGAGCTGTGGGGGGCAAAGAGCCACAGAGGGGCTGGGGAAGGGGCAAAAGAGACATACAGTGGAAGGGGCAAAAGAGACAGACAGGGGCTTTGGGGAAGACACCCAGAGGGGCAGGGGGAACACAAAGAGACACAGACGGTCTGGAAAATGAGCAAAAGAGACAGATATCGGCTTCAACTAAAGCTGTTAGATTTTAGTTGTGTTGACTAAAATCTACTAGGAGATTTAGGTGACCAAAACTAGACTAAAAGTAAAGCAATTTCAGAATACTAAAATACGACTAAAACTAAAATGGCTTTTCAGTCAAAAGACTATGACTAAACTAAATTGAAATTTGCTATCAAAATTAACACTGGCAGTATGTGTAGTGAAATCAGTGTGTGTTTGTAAAGGGGATGCTGTGTGTAGTGGATGCAGTGTGTGTTTGTATAGGGGATACTATGTGTTTAACCCCTTAAGGACACATGACATGTGTGACATGTCATGATTCCCTTTTATTCCAGAAGTTTGGTCCTTAAGGGGTTAAAGGCTGCAGTGTATGTATAGTGCATATAGTGTGTGTAGTCAATGCAGTGTGTGCATAGTGCATGTGGTGTGTGTAGTCTGTGTAGTCCATGCGGTGTGTATTGTTTGTGGTCTTTGTATATAGTGTATGCAGTGTGTGTATTTTTTTTTGTTTGGCCCCTTACAGGTATTCTGCTTGCACGCACTGATGGCGACCCTGCATAGCTCAAACTATCACAAGCACTTTTTGCTTATTTATGCATTAATTCTATTTTTCTACAGGGGGGCAATTCCTTCTTTGTTTTAACAAACATTGTAAAAACAGAAAATCAAGCACAAGGAGTTTGTCCGGAGGTAAGCCCATTTTATCATTTCTGTGCACGCGTTTTACTGTTTGCAGAAGACAATCAGGGCTAGCTTGACATGACGCACAAAATTGCCAATGTCTCAGCTGTGTTCAGACAGTGAATTCTGAGGGCTAACTCTACCTCCTCTTACCCTAACAGCTACTCTAAGTGATCCAATCCAACCCAACAAAAAAACAAATAACTTGGATAACACATGAGCAAGGAAAATGAAACACATGATAAGAGTTGCCACACACAGTTTACTCCCTTAGATCCTACCAGAGGTGGTCACCTGTAACCATAAGAAAGTATGATTCCTTTTCAAAGAACACTATAGTAAGTGGTGTTTTTTTTTTGAAAGCTCAGGTAGTGGTGATTGAAAAGGAAACTTAGATCTCCTCCTCTCCCAAATTGCAGCCCAATATCATTTTTAATATAAACTCAAAGACCTTCTCTGATATCCTGGAAGAACATTTAATACTAATCTCCCTACCCTCATACAAACTGATTTGTGTATTACAAAGGGAAACCTCATAATAAATTAAAGTACATTGAATCAAGTACATTGAATCATGTAACATTGTTATTTATTTATTTGACAGTTCTTATATAGTGTTCTTGTCCAGAGCTCTTTGCAAAATATTAACAATTAATTACGGACAGTGACATCTATAATTAGACATACTGGCGCAAAAGGCAATCTTGCCCATGGACATTAGTCTAACATTTGTGGCATTTTATCCAGAATGCTATGTAAGACATACACAAGAGCTTACAATGTAACGCAAAAGTATGCAATGACACAGACGGTAAGAGGGGGAAAATAATATGAAGGGTATCACATAAAAAACTATTTCTGATGTCACTAATTAAAGAGTTAATTAATCAATAACAAGTGACCACACATTTAGGAGTATGGTCTATAAATAAAGAGACAAATAGAAGATCCAGGCACTCAATCATTCTTTTTAAATTGCAATTTTTTAAAGGCAACAGCAACCAAACAGTGAAATGTTTCGACCTACATTGGTCTTTGTCAAGTTGTCACTTTTTCCTTATCGTAGTGGCAACAGAGCTGTTTACCTAATGCTGCCCCGAGCGGCTACTGTTGCTTCTTCTGCTAGAAGCCCTTGTCAATGCTTTACTCTTGCACATGCACGAGAGATCATCATTGATGTCAATGGAGTATCTCATGAGACCATGGAAGGCTCCATAGGTATTACCTCATTATAAGTGAGACAATGCCTGTTTCTCACAGCTGTCTTAGTTACAGCTGTGGAAAGTGACTAAACGTGATGAAACTGACTTTTTCAAGGCATTGCATTTCGAGAAGTAATTGTTCAATTATAGTTGAAGAGTATCACTTACAGGGTTATTCACTAAAGTCTGAATTGCCCAATACTGGATGGGACAAAATCATTTGCTGCAGTACTGGGACATTCAGACTGCAAAATCCATATATCTTCCACAGTGTGTAACGATAGCTGGAGTTTTCAAAGCAGACTGTGGATGAGCCTGAATCTGTCTGGATTTCATCCAAACCGATAGCTACCAGACAGCTGAAAGCTGGACAAGAATTGTTAAAATATTTTGGATGTTTGAAATCAGGACCAAATTTTAAACATCTAAACTATTTGCCAGCTTGTAGGGGCCATGTCCCCCCATAGATTTACAATGGCCGCCCAGTCACTAGTTTTTAGTTAAAGTGAGCAGCCTAAAGCTGCCATGACATGGCAGGTGGGGCCATAAGGGATATTAAAACCTTTCATATACTAATATTATGCTCATATTGACACCGATTGGCATTTTTATTCACTTTTTTAATGTGGTGACTGGCTAGCAAGTTTTGGCGAGCTGCCTAATGAATAATCCTTGCACTGCCAAGGGTTTATCTATATTTGCCTGCTGCCTGCTAGTGCTGGGCAAATAGTACATCAAAATATCTTTCTCATGCATAAAAAAATAGGCATTAAGTCAAGTGAACGATAATTTGCAAATGTGCATCCTGCTAGACGGAATCAGTTCCTACTTAGATAAAAATCGGTGCTTTGTACATATTCAGAATCCTGTACTATGTACAGGGCTTAGATTCTGAAAGCACTCATTTTAAACCACACACCAGATGTCGTTGGGGGGAAATTTCGTCAGGTTGGTCAAATATAGACTGGAATTAGGTTAGGTATGAGAATTGCCATTCCAGTCGGAATTTGACCATTTTCACTTGTTTTTGTCCATTCAGAAAAAAAAAAATCTGGTGTATAGTGAATACGCCTGTTAGTGGTTTATGTTTTTTTTATTTTTTTAAGTAATCGTTTATTAGTAACTACAGTAAATAATACATTGTTTTCTTCTTTATAGTTTCCAAACCGAAAAACAATTTGCTCTCGAGATGACATTTGTAAAAAAGATTATGCTGACCCACAAAGTAATGGTATGTGTGATTTTCCTGCTATTTAGCTTTAATTAGTACATTTTCAGAGAGAACTTCATATAAACTGAAGGTGAAATACACAAACAAGTGAACAAAGTTTCTACCAGTGCAGGAGCTATGTATGAGCATTATGTCTAGAGTCATGGCAGTTTATAAAGGGCTTATTGATTTAGAAACATAGAATGTGACGGCAGATAAGAACTATTCGGCCCATCTAGTCTGCCCAATTTTCTAAATACTTTCATTAGTCCCTGGTCTTATCTTATAGTTAGGATAGCCTTATGCCTATCCCACGCATGCTTAAACTCCTTTACTGTGTTAACCTCTACCACTTCAGCTGGAAGGCTATTCCATGCATCCACTACCCTCTCAGTAAAGTAATACTTCCTGATATTATTTTTAAACCTTTGTCCCTCTAATTTAAGACTATGTCCTCTTGTTGTGGTAGTTTTTCTTCTCTTAAATATAGTCTCCTCCTTTACTGTGTTGATTTCCTTCATGTATTTGGTTTTAGTTCTCCACATAGGTGTCCGTCCTGAATGAAAAGTGCAATCACCTCAAAGTGTCATTAGTACAGGTCTATTAAAAAATGCCTTACCTATGTATGTTAATACAGTGCCTACCATCACAAATGTTGCAACTTTTAACCAGTTTGTTGAAGCCAATATCCCACACTAACAAATAAAAAAAATCAAGTGTGAAAAAGCCTCAGGAGGAGGTGCAAAATATTTGTGGTGATGTCAGTCTCATATAACGCGTGGGCTGGCTTGCAGATACGCGGACAGTAACAGATGCTATCCGATACTCTGTTGCTGCTGGGTATTGTTGCATCATGCCATGTTTGAAAATGTGGTACCTAGCGATTTCATGCATCAAGGACAATTAGAAAGCTCAGTTCTTGGCTGCTGCTATACACACCAGCTGGTTTTTAAAGTTTTTTTATGAAAATAAAAGTTGTCATATTTCAGTCTGGAGATCCTGCTGTCTTTGTAAATGGAAGAGTCCGCAGATTACTTTAAATCCAGTGCTCACTAGGGTCCTGATCGTCCCATTGCCTAACTGTTTGAGGGACACAGATTTACTCATATTTCGTGAGTTAATTTACATAGGGTACCTATGGGGGTTATTATCTAAACATTTTTGCATATTTTTTTTCAGGATATAAATTAAACTACAAGTAGAATACGTACACAATTATTATTTATGTACACAATAGATTTACAGTTTTATAACAATTGTTTGTACAAAAGATTATATAACATTACGTGTCTGCTGGCTGCAGGGATACAAACGGGGCGATGTATACAGTACAATTCTACTATTAAAACCTGCGAAATCCGTGCCTGGTGTCCTGTGGAGTCCAAGAGTACCCCAGAGTAAGTGCTTTCAATTATGTAACAAGGCAAAGTTCCCTTGCCCATCAAATATGTCTAAAAAGTCACAGTTTACTTAAAACACACTTTAAAAACATGTATTTTTTACTCATCAAAACACACATTACATGCCATTTTGCAGAAAAATGCATTTGTGTGCATTTTGCAATGTGTTCTACCTTTTTTTATTATAAGTATTGCCAGAGAATGTTTGATCAACACCAATCCTTAAAGGGACACTATAGTCACCAGAACAACTACAGCTTATTGTATTTGTTCTGGTGAGTAGAATCATTCCCTTCAGGCTTTTTACAGTTAACAAAGTCTTTTCAGGGAAAATGCAGTGTTTACATTGATCCCTAGGTATACCTCCAGTGGCCATTTATTAGATGGCTACTAAAGATGCTTCCTGGGTCAGTGCTGCACAGTCTCTGCATGGAGACACTGAACTTTACTCATTGATTCAATGCATCTCTATGAGGAGATGCTGATTACCAAGCCTCCTAGACGATCTCAGCCAATCTAATGCTTTTCTTATGGGAAAGCATTAGATTGGCTGAGATTATGCATTCTGATGATCTAAACCAAAGAAGCGGATAGGGGGCTGGGCTAGTGCCAGCATACCTGCACCATGCTGGAAATTAGGTAAGTTTTCTTACCTTTTAAGGGGGACCTGTGGGGGACTAGACACCTAAGTGTTGGTTTTAACAATGTAGGGTCAGGAATACATCATTGTGTTTCTGATCCTATAGTCTTCCTTTAAGATACATTCCTAGACAGATGTCACACGTTCTGTCTGCATGTTTGTACAGTAAAACAATTAGCAATTGAGCTTATTGAACAAGTTCTGTTTCAAATGACACATTTACAATGATGTACCTAGTCCCTACTATACGTATGTATTAAGAGCAGTAGTATTCTGAAAAATTGCTTTTGTCACAAGCATCCTGCAATGTGACTTCAACCTACCATCATCAACTATTTCATATCAAATACTGAAGCTTTAATACATTTTCCATGGCACAGTTTGCTATGCAGGATGTGATAGGAAGGGAATTTAATCACTAAGCCCCATTTATAGCTATGTGGAAATATATTCCATATATTTCTAAAGAAGGAATCCGTGCTTCAGTAGCAAAGAAATCTACAGTGCTGTTTACAATGCTCTATTGTATACATAGTGGTACATAGATAAATCTTCTAACAAAAGGCCCTTTCTATCATCCCACTAAGGAAATTCCTGTATGAACTCTGAGTGCTTCTTTAGCTCTCCAGTGTAAGAATAGTATCTTAAACATTTGTCTGTCAGTGTGTCTGTCTGTCTCATTGGTGGCGGTAAAGAAAGAAACAAAAAAATAACAAAAACACAAAAGTAATAATTAGGATTCCCTTGGTAAATCCCCATTCCGACATTGTAAGTAGTCAAACCATTTAAGAACTACCCCCCTTCCACTCAACAACCAGGAGAGCCAAAGTTCCTGCGTAGCAGCTTCAACTTGTTCTCCTGAGCTAAGTCCTGTAGGGAAGGGCCAGCTCATTGGCTGAGATTATCAGGTGATGGTTTAGTTCAGATGGAGAGCATCATGCTCTCTTGTAATGGAGATGGGGAATAGCGCCCCAGGAACACAAGGTAATAAGTCAGAGCATTCTAAGATGGCATGATAACTTACATTGGTGATGCGCCAGGGCATTCCTGTTACCATAACCACTCTAGCACTCTTTAGTAGTTATGGAGCTTGGAGTGATCCTTCAAGGGAGAATTAAATTCAGGTGTTAAATACAAAGGGCAAAGCAAAAGACAAGGTTGAGGTAGACAGAGGACCATGGCAGTTCTGGGGTAGTATGGTTTTATGGTGGCATTTTGTGTTTCTACTATTATCTACCATTTATTATTACTCTGTACTTTGACCTTTGGCTGGCTCTTGATCAGTTGTACCTTGTTTCTCCTTAAGCCACCTAACCCCACAACCTGGAACTTGATCTTGATAAGAGTACTAATAAATTCTGCAGTCAGACGAAAATTCCTCCCAGCATTTTTTAATTACAGTGGCCCACTGAAAAGGGGGTGGCTGGGCCAGATAGGGTGTGTTTTGTCATCACTAATGACAAGCACGGCCCATCACAAAGTGCACATGCTGGTTCAATGCTCTTCCAGGGCAGACCATGTGCAGAGCTCTGCTGAAGAGCTCTAGCAGGAGAAAAAGGCCCTGTATTTGTTCTGCAAATTTCATAACATGCTTGCACTGTGTTTGCTTGAAATATATCTCTGGTGTCTGCATAGATGGGATACCAGGAGACAAAAATGGCAGTAAAGAATATTGTGCAGTGTGTGTGAGGGTAGTGTGTGTGTGAGAGTTGTAGTGTGTGTGTGAGGGGTGCAGTGTGTGTGCAAGAGGGGTGCAGTGTGTGTGAGGGTGCTGTGTAGGTAAGGATGCTGTGTGTGTGATGGGGTGCAGTGTGTGTGTGCTGTGTGTGAGTGATGGGTGCAGTGTGTGTGAGGGTGCTCTGTTTGAGTGAGGGTGCTATGTGCGTGCGAGGAAACTATGTGTGAGAGGGTGCTATGAGTGTCAGGGCTGCAGTGTGTGTATGTGTGAGAAAGGGTGCTGTGAGTGTCAGGGGTGCAGTGTGTGTGTGTGTGTGTGAATGAGGGTGTTGTGAGTGTCAGGGGTGAGTTCCTCCGAGTTCCTCTCCTTGCTGTCTCCCTGCATGTGAGAGGATGCTGTGAGTGTCATTGGTGCAGTGTGTGTGTGAGTTAGGGTGTTGTGAGTGTGTGTGAGTGAGGGTGCTGTGTGTGTGTGTGTGAGGGTGCTGTGAGTGTCAGGGGTGCAGTGTGTGTGTGTGATAGAGGGTGCTGTGAGTGTCAGGGGTCCCTGGTGGTGCTAGTGGTCCCTGTGGGGCTAGAGTTCACACTCGCGAGACCCAGAGCGTTACCATGGCAATGCTCTGAACCCGGCGGAGCTGCAAGATAGAGTTCCTCAGGGTTCCTCTCCTGGATGTCTCCCTGCATGTGGGCCAGTGAGGGAGGTCTTTGATCTCCCCCTCCCCCCCCCCCGTACCGTCATGGAAAACAGAGAGGCCGGTGCTCAAATAGTGCATGGAACGACCAGGAAGATCCTGTGATCTCCCCTGCCAGCCTCGGCCCATGGACATCGCGGCCCGGTGTGCCTGATGGCCAGTCCGGGCAAGTTCTGTTGTTTATTTTGTTGTTCTTACTAAGTTTTATCTCTGTTATGTTATCACATTTGAATGCTGCCTCTCAGAAGGTATCACAGTGTCTAGATCTACATGGCCCTATGTTCTGATGCCAATATGCAGGGATAGGCAACCTTTGGCACTCCAGATGTTGTGGACTACATCCCCCTAATGCTCTTACATCTATAATGCTGGCAAAGCATCATGGGAGGTGTAGTCCAAAACATCTGGAGTGCCGACGGTTGCCTATGCCCTTGTTTTTAGTCGGTGTCTAGCTTCACATCTACTTGACCCTTCTTTTCTTGCTCTTGCCATACAGTTATTATTCACAGCAGTTTAGTATCTTAGTGTTTATTTTGCAGTAGAGGCTCCACTCAGTAGATCCTTTTCTGATGAAAAATTTTAAGGCTTGGTACTCATTGATTCATGCAAGTTATCCTGATACCAATTTTGATGTACCAGTCTGCATGTTTGTTTATGTTTTTTTACTATATCTGTACCGCCAAGTATTGAGATATACATTTTTTTTTTTTAATTATTAACACAAGCACAATATTATTAATTTTTATGGCACACTAAATCCAACTAGAACTGTATTCCTTACACGATAGTGTTCCATTAACTGTGTTTTGTAATAGACCTCTAAAAGGCTTCATAGCAAACACACTGATTTTGTTGTATAGGTAAATTAAGAAGTGTACATTAAAAGTATAGACTGTCTTATGTGCAGTGTATGTTTAGACCCCTGAATATGCAATACCAATTCTAGTCTGTAAATATGTCATCATGGGTGGTGTTGTCACCATATGGACAATGAGTTAAACTATAAATCACGCATAAGTAATGTTGTATGCTAAATATATGCAACTGATTTTGAAAACAGTGACTTTCTGTAATGCGAGACAATGTGACTCTTTCTGGAAAAAGTCAATACAGTAATTGTAGCCAGTCTACAGTTCTCTAACCACTACAGTCATCAATACACTGGTTGATGTTTTGTCCAACAGACCAAGATTTCCATTTATCTAGCTTACTAATAAATATATACATTTGTGGGATACAGGACCAAGCTAAAATCGTTTGTGTGATAGGGTATCACTAAGAAGTAAGTTGTCATGACTGGGCAACTGATTTGTAAAATGTAGCCTGAAATAGCTGAATTGAAAGTATTTTCCATCATACAGTCCGCTGATGTTTTCTCTGTATGTTTTCCAGTCCCGCTGTTCTAACAGGAGCTGAAAACTTCACTGTTCTGATTAAGAATAATATTCACTTTGCTGAATTCAATTATACAACGTAAGTGTCAATACGTTCTGAAGAACTTGATGTAAAATGCCATGTGACAGGTTAGGAGTATTTGCTCTAGATAATTAGGGTTGAAATGACTATATCCCTAGGTATCGCTCATCTGACATTGACAATAAATCAGTTTTTAACTAGGAATTCATATGTATCACATGTATAGCTCAAATATAATTATCCCAATCATTATAATCTTGTTCTGTATGGTACAGGAAAAACATACTGCCTGAATACAATGTATCCTGCATCTACGACCGAGTGAAAGCCCCCGAGTGCCCCATCTTCCGATTAGGAGATATTGTGAAGGAGGCCGGAGAAAGCTTTTCTCAAGTTGCAGTCCTGGTGAGTGATCTAGATATTGTGGAGTGATGACTACAGAACAATATCACAGAAAAAGGGATGTTTTATCTCTTGGAAGAAAATACAATACAGTGGGGAGCAAGTAAATATTCCAGTAATATTAGTACAAAGACATCTCATCTTTGATTAAATTTTATCATAAAAGAGTTCTATATAAATATGTAATCAGCTCATCATATGGTTGTTAAAAAAATATACATGCTGGGAGAAGACTTTACTCTGGATCCAGGTTTTTAATCCCTTCAGGACGGAGTCAATAGTACACGTTCTGATCAAAACAAAATGCAAACAAAAACTGGAATTTGCGCTATATGTCTGTTCAACCGTAATTCACCTCTTTCATATTATATGCACCCACACTTATTATATATCATTTTGTTCAGGAGAAACGGGGCTTCATTTAATATCAAATATTTATATATGAAACATTATTTATATATGAAAAAATTATTATGAATAAAATCAAAACAACTGTGAGAAATGTAATTTCTTTTTTTTAAATTGTAGTTCCACCTCACATTATAGCTGTAAATGTCATAAAACTGTTAGCTTTTACTGCAAAAAAAGCACATATTTGGATTCAGCAAAATCTCACGAGTACAACAGTAGCCCCCATTAACAGTTTTTACGGTGTTTTGGAAAGTCAAAGGGTCAAATATAGCACATTCCATTTTCCCGTTTTTTCACATTGAAATTTGCCAGATTAGTAATGTTACCTTTGAGATTGTGTGGAAGCCCAGGAATGACATTTACACCCATGATGGCATACCATTTGAAAAAGTAGACTACCCAAGGTATTGCAAGTGGGGTATGTCCAGTCTTTTGTAGTAGCCACTTAGTCACAAACACATGTTTAATATTTTCATAGAACGCCGTAACAGCGTTAAGGGGTTAATGGCTATTGTCACCTATTGTGTGTTTTCCAACATACTTTTCTATCAGTTTTTTTCTATTAAAAATAACCATGGGGATTTCCACACTCCATATTGTTGGTTTGTCTGCGTCTTTAACAAAGTTCCAATACAATAATACTCACACTAATGCACATTTAAACTACATTTTACTTCAAGCATCATGACCACTTCAGTGGAACAGAACAAGAGTTACGGACTGGCTAATGTAAATTCTGTGCATATTTCTATTGGCTGAGAATGGTCAGCTGATTCTCTCAGACATTTAATGGCTGATGGGATTGACATCACAGTCAGCAAAAGAGGTGCCTCAGCACCTGGCAGGAAGTGGGGCAAGGATAATATCAAGAACCTTTCATGAATCTCATTATCTTTGTATTACAATTCACACAGTATAGTAAATGGATATTACAATAAACAATATTTAAACAAGGCCAAATGTATTTATGTAAGTTTTTTTCTTTGCAGGGTGGTATAATGGGCATTGAAATCAATTGGAATTGTGATCTTGATTATTTGTCATTCAAATGTCGTCCATACTACAGTTTCCGCCGCCTGGATGAAAAGGTTGTTGATGAACGCTTGTTTCCTGGTTTCAATTTTAGGTATGGTCAATAATATGTGTTAAAACCATAATGCAAGCAAGCTGTAATGTATACCAGTCACACACAAAAAAAAAAAAGAAGGAAAAAAGTTTTTGTGTCCTCTATTGACGTAAGATATAGTAGAGGTTGGTGGAAATACGCAAGAGTGACGCCGGCAACACACATATAACACATGATGAAGTGTACCCCGGCTACACACATATGAAGCCACATCAGATGCTACCTTATTGCTCAGAAGTACTGTGCCTTGCAGAGAGTTGCTTGCTAATAATTTCTATAATTCTGCTATTATTCTGCCATTTCCTTTGATTACTCGCTTATGAGTCATTGCAACCTCGACCGACCTTTCCTTGACCAAATTACGCTTTCAGTGTTCTCCTTGTCCTTTAGTGCTGGTTTCTGCATTTTGAATTCTTCCATGCCAGTCCCTGACAGTTAAACAGTATTATACAAACACTCCATTTCTATTTATTCTGTTACCCCCCCACCCCATCTGATTGCTTTCTTTACCTCATATGAATACCATTTTGTAACCGATATTAAAGGGGCTGTATATATTTCTCACAACTCCGTCTCATGTCATGTCTCATATCACTTTGGTAGCTCACGAAGCATGCTTTTGCCGACTTTGGAAGCCATGGAATAAACATGACAAGAGCTATTACACTTTTTTTAATAGAGAAATGAGTGTACCCATCTTTATTGAGCAGACTAGATGGGCCGAATGGTTCTTATCTGCCGTCACATTCTATGTTTCTATGTTTTTAGTCCCCCAATGCATACTAGGAGATTTGATAAGTCAGGTAGCTACTATATCAAACATGATAACAGTAGGATAATGTAGTAAATGTACAGGATAGATAATGACAGTGGACATTGATAGTGATCAATGCTGGAAGAGTAGATCTAAACGATTGGTCCTGATAATAGACATAACCTAGAGTTGTGCTCCCTGGGCTTTGAGATTGTCACGTATCCATCCTCTTCATATAAAGATTACACTTACAGTAGTACTGTAATTACCTTCCTAAGAATAATAGAAGTGCCGCACAACAGTCCTACGCCATAGTGCCTGGTTTTTGCAACATGTCGGTGGACGCTGGCCGCTGCGGATCCACACCATATTATAGCTCCACGTCCGCCCACGGTAATGACGACGTCAACATGCGTGTGACGTCACGCAAAAGACGCACACGCACATTTTGGAGTCAAAAGTCAGGTACGGCCAATCGGATCTGCAGGAGGGTTATTTAAACTTATTATTCCTTCTACTCATTGCCCTGTCGTGGTTTCCCTTTGCTGGTTATCTGAGAGTGTGTTCCTGATCGTATTGTTCTGGTTTTGGACTTGGGCTTCATTTTGACTTCCCTGATTTCTGGTATCCTTGACTTTTGGCTTTCCCTCATCATTGTGTCTCATTCTGTATCCCTGACCTCGGCAAGTATTTTGACTATTCTTGGGTACGTTAAGTCCAGCCATTCTAAGGTCTGGTTAGACGTTATCCTTAATCCTAGGTGTGATACTATTTCTGCATGCTGGATCAACTAGTAATCCTGACAGAGATGCATGAATCCCATCCCATGCTAGATGACTATAACCAACTTTCCATATCTGGGCTCATCCATGCCACATGGTGCCCTTGGAAACAAAAAAAATCCTAAACAGCCTCTTGATCTTACTCTAAATATATATTTAGAATTAGCCAACAGTAGAGAAGATAGGGAAGAGATGTACAACTAACACGGGGTTCTTCCTAGTAGCAAGGTGACATTCAGGATGCCTTTGCCAATAAAATCCTAAGTGGAGGTAGTGACTCCATATACGCACAATATTACGTTATCTTATTTTCCAAAACTATTTTAAGATAATTTAACTCAAAATTTATATTTTAGCATTTGCTAAATGTTATTTTTCTGATCTAACGCAACATTTTTAAACTATGATCTAAGAATTCTGGATCTTTAAAAGTCTAGAATAATATTTTCTACAAAACTCAAAATGCACAGATCCAGTTTAGCAGGCTAAACATATTGTTTACTAAATTATGTGTCATTTCCTTTTCAGATTTGCCAGGTACTATAAAACCACAAATGGAAAGGATACAAGAACTCTCATAAAGGCAATCGGAATACGTTTTGACATTCAAGTATATGGCACGGTAATTATTTTATGCATTGTTATTTTACCCCTTCAGTTCTACATTTGTGTATACAAGATTGCCAGTGCCTGCACCCATACCTTTCAATCGTGTATACACAATTACAATCATTGCAAATTAAATAAGTTCATTGCAAACTAATTTTATTTGCAATAGCTGTGCTGAGCTATCCCACTGCCCCACCACAAACTACAGGACAGAAGGGAGACCTTCAGATCTCCCTGCACGGCGCTGCACTCAGGGCCGTCTTTAAGGAGGGGCAAAAGGGGCAGCTGCCCCGGGCCCAGTTACTCCTGGGGGCCCTAAGGCAGCTGCCCCATGGGCCCCCTGTGGCACCTGAGGTAATCAGGGGCCACAGCCCTTTAATACTGCTCTGGACCGGCCCGGGCCCCTGTTATATGGGGGGTGGCTGACTACATACTCACAGCTAGCCCCCTCACATACTGCCCTGTGAGTCTCTTTGTTTCCTGGGCATGCTGGGAGGAAGTGAGGTCAGATTGCTTCCTCCCAGTAAGAACTGATAACTTCCTCCTCAGTGCCGCTGGGGAGGAGGCACACACCACATGGAGGAGGATGCAAGCATTGTGGGGGAGAGGGACTGAGAAAGCTAATGGCAGACTCCCATCAGCCTGGGCCAGCAAGCTCTCACTGGACACCAGGGAAGCCACCTTTCTGTACCCAAAAGGTAAGGAGACAGGAGGGTGGCTAAATATGTTTTGTTTTTTGTTTTGCTAATTTCTGATATCACTTTTATTTAAGTGTGTTGATGTTTGTAATGTAACACACAGGGAATAAGTACATGTTAAAAATCCTAGAAGAACCTGACAGTTCCCTATTAAATATAAATTTAAAAAGTATTTATTTTAACATATTATTGCATCAAGTGTTATCAAAGGCTGTATACCATTTTCAAATGTCACTTTTGCCAAATTCTGGACCAGGGTATGTAAGAACAGAGTTGAGACATTATATTGGCCAAGGTTGCTGGGAGTTGCTGTCCAAGAGCTGCTAGAAGGCAGAGATTAAAATATGTAAATGTACACATATATATGTGTGTATCTGGCTGTGTTTATGTCCTTGTGTGTATCTGGCTGTGTTTGTCTGTGTGTCAGTGTTTCTGTGTGTATGTATACCTCATACACCTGTATGTGCACCTGTGTGTGTGTTTCGGTGTGTGTGTAAGTGTGCATCTAAATGTGTGGTAATGCATACATCCCAGCATTTTAATGCCAACACAAATACACTCCTACATTCCATCTCTAGCACTGTACACATATACACCCCTGCATTTATACCTTTATGTATGTGTGTATCTGAGTGTGTGTGTATATACCTGTGTCAGTGTGTGTGTATGTGCCAATGTGTGTATATCAAAGTGCTTGTATCTGTGTGTCAAAGGGTGTGTATCTGAGTGTGTGTGTATGTGTATGTGCCAGTATGTGTCAAGGTGTGAGCATGTGTCAGTGTGAGCATGTGTGTATCTGCGTGTTAATGTGTATGTGTATATGTGTTATAGAAATCACACAACATGCAAACAGACCCCTGCAAACACAAACATTACAAACACACCAGTTTGCTGAAACACTAATACTACACACAAATGTACACATGTATTTAAAAGACAACACTACATCCAAACACCCCCCTGCCTGCAAATACAAACATTACATGCAAACACATTCCTGTATTAAAACGCTAAAATTATATACAAACACCAACTCTACACACAAAAGTACACCTGCATTTAAAAGCCAACACTACAAACAATCACACATCCCTGCATTAAAATGCAAACACTACACACAAGTACACCACTGCATTCCAATGGTAACAGTACATACAAATACACTCCTACATGCACACATACACTCTATATAATAACATGCTGACATTCATTTGCACAAACACTGCTCAAAAATACAACCCTGCAAGGATGGTAGATCCCCAGCTGGCATAGCATTGCAGGAGTTGTATGACAGATGGGGATCTATCTTTTCTTTACTCTTGTGCTACAGGGCAGGCCTGAATTTTTTTTTGTTGCACCAAGGCACTCTCTACATTAGTTTCGCCTCTAGGTTGGGGTGGAGGGAGTGATTGCATGCCCAGGGGGCCCAAACAGATGCTTGCCCAGGGTCCAATCAATATTAAAGACGGCCCTGGCTGCACTACTAACTCTGCAGGCTGCCTTCCGGCTGAATGCAACTCTCTGGCAATGCTCCCTCCTGGCCAGAGACCAGAAGGGTGCATTCAGCCACAGGGCAGATTTCACAGGCATCCCTTCAGACCACCAAGAAAACTGCTGTGTGGGGGTGGCTGGGGCTGGCCACAATTAAGGGAGGGGCAGAGCTAAATAGGCAGCAAGGCAGAACTAAAGGGCAGCGGGGGCGGTGCTAAATGCAGGGCCGTCTATAATATGAATAGGACCCCGGGCAAAGCCTTTTCTTGGGCCCCCTGGGCCCTGTCACTGCACCCTCCCTCCCCATTATGCCCAACCCGCAATCACACTGACAGACATACTGACACATACACACACAGACAGACACATTAAAACATTCGCAGATACATACTAACACACATACACTGACACAAAAATATATACTGGCAAACATTGACACACATTCAAACATACTGATACACACACAGACACATACATACTCACGGACACATAGACTGACAGATATATTGACACATACACTGACAGGCGTATTGACATACACAGACATACTGACATACACACAAACACACTGGAACACAGTGAGACATACTGACATACACACACAGGCATACTGACATACAAACATACACACAGTATGTCTGTGTGTGTTAGTATGTCTGTGTGGTGTGTTAGTATGTCTGTGTGTGTATGTCAGTATGTCTGTGTATGTCAGCATGTCTGTGTGTGTTAGTATGTGTGTGTGTGTATGTCAGTATGTTTGTGTGTGTATATGTCTGTGTGTGTGTATGTCAGTATGTGCGTGTGTGTATGTCAGTGTGTGTGTATGTCTGTGTGTATGTGTCAGTATGTCTATGTGTGTGTGTATGTCAGTGTGTCTGTGTGTGTATGTCAGTATGTCTGTCATAGACACACACAGACATACTGACATACATACACAAACAGACATACTGACACAGACATACTAACACACACACATACTATCACACAAACACATACTAACACACTAACACACACACAGACACAGACATACTAACACACACACATACTAAAACACACACACAGACATACTAACACACACACACACACATACTAACACACACACATACAGACATACTAACACACACAAACAGACATACTAACACACACAGGCATACTAACACACACAGGCATACTAACACACACACAGGCATACTAACACACACACACACAGACATACTAACACACAAACACAGACACACACACAGACATACTAACACACAAACACAGACATACTAACACACACAGACATACTAACACACACACACATACTAACACACACACACATACTAACACACACACACAGACATACTAACACACACAGACATACTAACACACACACATACTGACATACATTTAGCCACCCTCCAGGTTCTTACCTTTTTATGGAGGGTGGTTTCCCTGGGGTCCAGTGGCATGCTGAGGCAGATGGGAGTTCTTCTCTGGAACTCCCCTCCTCCCTGCCTTCCTCCTCCCGCGCGGCTATCTCCGGTGGGAGGAAGTGACACGTGGTACTCACTTCCTCCCAGCCGGTACAGGAAGGGGCCCGGTCGCGCTGTTTAAGCGTCACAGCGCCCGACCGGGCCCCTTCTGCCACATGCACACAGGGTGGCCCTTAGTGCATGGGCCACCCGGGGGCCTCCTTAGTTGGCGGGCCGGTGCGGCTGCACCGACGGCCGCCGGGTACATGGGGGCTGCTGAAATGGCGGGGCCCACGGGGCAGCTGCTCTGGGGCCCCCCAGGAGCAACTGGGCCCGTGGCAGCTGCCCCGGTTGCCCTGCGCTAAACACAGCCCTGGCTAAATGCAGCCTGAACATGGTGCCTAGTTACTGTTGCACCATGAGGGGGAAGCAGGAAGGAGTTCTTGGGTCCTCAACCACTAGACACCAGGGATTGCAGTGCCTCCACTCCCTACCCCAGTGCCCGTAATGGAAAGAGGTAACTGCCTGTAAATGTGAGTGTATGTGTGTGACTATCTGTCTGTAACTGTGTGTGTATACACAATAAAAAGGGCAAGTACTCCTCTATTTAAAGCTTGGGTGCAAAATTTCAAGGTTTCATTCCAGTCACCTGACTTATAGTAGAAATACAACACAAAACTGCAACACCAAAGGTAAATTGAAAGAGATTTATTCCAAATAGGCAACATTTCGATCCAATCTCTTTGTCAAGCATGATGCCTTCGTCAAGGCTTGAGAAAGGCCTTGAGGTTGTTTTGGAACTTTGCTGGTTCCACACAGATGGAATAAAATTGTCACTTTTTGTGTGACTGTCTCCCTGTGACTGCGTGTGTGACTGTCTGCCTGTAACTGCATGTGTGAGATTGTCTGCCTGTAACTGTGTGTATACTGCCTGTAACTGTGTTTGACTGTCTGCCTGTGGCTGTGTGTGTTGCTGTCTGCCTGTAACTGTGTTTGTGACTGTCTGCCTGTACCTGTGTGTGTGATTGTCCAGCTGTGTGTGACTGCCTGTGACTGTGTGTGTGACTCTGCCTGTGATTGTCAGTGTTTGTGACTGTATGCCTCTAACTGTGTGTGGCAGTCTGCCTTGACTGTTTGTGACTGCCTCTACCTGTGGGTGTCACTGTATGCGTATGACTGATTGCCTGCAACTGAGTGTGACTATCTGCATGTGACTGTGTGTGCTGCTTGGGACTGTGTGCATGTGGCTGTATTTGACAGTGTATAACAGTATGCATCTGATTGTAGGATTGTGTACATGTGACACTGCAAAAATAAACTGCTGCATTCACACATGGGCCTACATGTATTTTTTTTTTAAATCTTAATTAAATACTCATCACATACATACAGACAAACAGACAGACAAACACACACATACAAACAAACACACACACAAACATACATACAGACAGACACACACACATCCATATAAACACACATATACACATACATACATATAGATACATACATACAAACACACACACACACACATACACAGACAGACATAAACACACACATACATACAGACACACATAGAGAGAAACATTCATACAGACACACATACATACAAACACACACATATATAGACACATACAAAATGTTTTAGTCACCCTCCTTTTTCCTACGTTTTTGGTGTAGGAGGGTGACTTTCCCTGGGGTCCAGTGGCTCAGCCTGATGGGAGTCAGAGTTCCCACTCTGACTCCCTTCTTTCCTCCCTCGTCTCACGCGGCTCCCGGTGGTGGCTGGGTGGAAGTGACTTCCCAGCGTCTGACATCATCACAGGGGGCCCAGTCGCGCTGTTAACGTGCCGCAACGCTAACCGGGCCCCCTGGAAATACATTGCCATCGTGCGGCCCCAGCGGTTATACCAAGTTCAGTGGTCCGCAGAAGCCCCACAAAAGCAGAAGAGATACAACTGATGCAGCCTTCTCCCACTTTCTACAAATATTTTCACATCGATGAAGCGGAGAAACCTTACAGTTTATATTATAGTTTTTGCAAGTAATATGTCAGCTCATCACAACTCACTATTTAGTAAATAGAGCTTTCTGTGTTTTTATATGTCTTATATCTTAGTTCTATGTAGAACAGATATTAGGTTGCTTAAAGGTATCCTGCTTTCTTTTAGGGAGGTCAATTCAGGTGGATTCAGTTGATCATATTCATTGGTTCCTACTTGTCATATTTTGGATTGGTAAGTTTTAGGCACGTAGAATTCGCTTGGTCGAATTGGCTGTATGCAATTTTAAAATATGTTGTTTTTTTTTTTAATTTTTATTTTGTACGTATAAGACTACGATAGTGATTGACTCTCTGATTGGACTGTATTATGAATGCTGCTGTGATCCAAAGTCATCTCAGAAGTACTATGATGATACAAAGTATGAAAAAGTCTCTGGGCCCTGCATTATTACGGTAAGATCTCTTTATAAATGGGTATGGTATCAAAGGGTTACTTAAATCATCATGACCACTTCTGCTTTTTGAAGTATAAATGGTGCTAGGAGTCATAACTTGAGAAAACGGCTAGTTGCACCCTCCAGCACCCATGACTTAGGCAGTCCAGAACTGCGGGCTGCCAAATGTAAATTTTGTGCATAATATACATTCAGCATCTTTCCACAGCACACTGGCAACGAAAGTATATAGCCTGGATATCCCCTCCTTTCCTCTCACTTCTTGTGTTTATCCCTCCCCGCCTACCCATTGAACGCGTTTTTTTTTAAATTCTCTCTTCCCTTCCTCCCTGATAGGGAGGGAGGGGAACCAAAGAATAATGCCAAGTAGGACATTATTTGATTTAAAAAAAGCATTTTAAAACATATCTCAACGGGATCCCTCTCCCCTCACTAAAAGACAAAGCTATAGAAAGGCTCTCTACCCCAATCACAGAATTAGCAAACACGTTAAAAACACATAAACCCAATAAATGTCCAGGTCCAGACGGCTTTTTCGGGCTTTATCCAACATCCTAATACCCCACCTCACCACATTCTGTAATTCACTCCTCAAGGGAGATCTCCTACCAAAAGAAATGCTCAGAGCAAATATCTGCCTTATCCCCAAACCAAACAAATCACAGTTAGACCCCGGACGCTTCTGTCACGGTGCACCCTGAGCCCTGCAGACAGCAAGGCGTGGCCGCCCCTTTAATGTAAGGGGCTGGATCCTGGCTGGATTTGAACTCACAGCTCCAGCATCCCAGTCAGGTTCTCTACCATGCTGTCGACTAGGGGGCTTCAGTATCTGTCTGCATTATTCTGCTTACTGACTCCTTGCCTGGATGGAGCAGTGCTGATCCACCTGCAGCCCCTTACCAATTAGGGTCAGCTGCTCCTAATCAGCAGGCTGTAAAGCCAGCTCTACCTGAGGCCTGGTATCTAGTCATTTTGTTTGCTTGGTGTTTCCTGACGGATCTTTGTTACCCTGCTGACTAATTTCCTAGACTCTAACCTCTGCCTGCCTTACTGACTACGATACTCCACTGCCAGCCCTGACTTCTGCTTCTCATCTGACCCTGCCTTTGGATTACCCCTTTATCTGTACTGTGTTTTTGGTTTTTGCCTCCACTTTGTGCCATCTCCTGCACCTGGGCTCCAACTCCTGGTAAACTGTTACAACTTCCGACACATATCGCGCCTCAACTAAACCATTCACAAAACTACTAGCCAACCCTTTCTTGCAAAACTCATTCATCCCCATCTGGTAGGCTTCATCCCTACACACCAAGCATGTGATAACACCAGGCGCACACTTGACCTGAGCTGGGTCCCCCCAAACATAGACAGATACCAACTCTCCTCCTCTCAATGGATGCTGAAAAGGCATTTGACTGCTTACTCTGGTCTTTTCTCTTTGCCACCCTGTGAAAATTCCACCTTCCAGAACCCGTCATAGCAGCCCTAAAATCCCTCTATAACCAACCAACAACTACCCTTCTCATCCTCAACATGTAACACCCCAGAGACTAAATGACTAACAATTAGAAATGACAAATACAAAACCGCAGCCTACGCCGATGATATTCTTCTAACCGTTACCAACCCATGCCAATCCATTACCAACCCAGCTCCTCTACTTGAGCTCTTAAAAGAATACTCTACCCTATCCAGGTACAAACTAAATCTGGATAAAATGGAAGCCCACCCAATTGGTATCCCACAACTATCTCTAAACCACCTCCACACAACCTATCCTTTCAAATTCAACACACACAGCATCCACTATCTTGGAACACTCCTTCCCATAGACCTCTCTATAACATATAGCCTAAACTACACACCGTTGCTCCAACAGGCACATGATGATCTGCTGACCTGCATGTCCATATCCTGGCTAGGCAGAATAACCACTATAAAAATTGATCTCCTCCGTTTCCTCTACTTGTTCCAAGCCCTCCCTATCCCTATCTCGAAGCTCTATTTCAAAACACTTCAAACAAAAATAGACAACTTCATCTGGTCTGGTAAAAAGCCAAGGATCAAGAGGTCTACAGTGTATATCACCACTAGAGCAGGGCCTCCCGAACTTCTACCACTATTTTCAAGCTGCCCAACTAGTGCAAATCCAGAACCTGCACGGACAACCAGGCATAAATCTGTGGGTAGATCTTGAACATTAACTTTTAGGCAGGGACCTCCCCTCACTCATTTTCTGGCTCCCCAAAACAGACAGACTGAACATCCCACTAACGACCCCAACCCTAACTATATATCTCCAAACATGGGACAGACTTCTCCCACGCCACCAACTAGTAAATGTAGCTTCTCCACTCACACCAGTCTTGAGAAACAGACAATTCCCCCAGAAATGACACCCCAAAACTTTGCGCACTTCGAAGACAATGGGCTACTAAGACTCCTTCACTTCTTTCATAACCAACAACTCTTACAATTCCCAGATCTCCCAAGAAAAGTACAACTAAACACCTTCGATCACTTTCCATACCTGCAACTACGCAACTTCCTCAGCGAACCAAAGTCATTGCCAGGGCAAATGCCAGACTCACGCAATATAAAAAAGCAAGCCTACACGCACCCATTCATAAGGGACAGATATCCACGATATACTCGCTTTTTCCAGTATCACTGAAATACCAATGTACCTCTTGCTGCTAGGCTTATGCACAAGCCCCAATAATGCTTTCAAGCTGTAATGTCTGTCAAAGCAAAAATAAAGAATTATAAAAAAAAAAGCAAGCCTACACGCACCCATTCATAAGGGACAGATATCCACGATATACTCCCTCTTGAATTCGAACTCCCCAGCAGACGCCCTCTCATATACATTGGCATGGGAAAGAGACATAGGCCCTCCAGAAAACCCCTCTGACTGGGCAATTGTGTGGTAAGCATCGCTCATTATATTATTTAGTTATAAAATATTTTACCAGGAGAGATACAATGAGATTTCTCTCGTTTTCAAGTATGTCCTGGGTCCACAAAACATTGCATTGATACAATAGGGTGCAATAAAATACAAAAACAATATTAATGGCGCTGGGGAACTCTCCTCCATCTTTTGACGCCCGCGCTTAATGAGCATGCGCGGCAAGAGAAGCGCGAGCATTCAAACAGTCCATAGGAAAGCATTTCTCAATGCTTTCCTATGGACGTCAGTGTCTTCTCACTGTGATTTTCACTGTGAGAAGCGCCTCTAGCGGCTGTCAATGAGACAGCCACTAGATGCTGGATTAACCCTAGTTTCTCTGAAACTGCTATGTTTACAGCTGCAGGGTTAACACTAGATGGACCTGGCACCCAGACCACTTCAATGAGCTGAAGTGGTCTGGGTGCCTATAGTGGTGCTTTAATACAGAGGCATTATAATAATGTTGATGCTGGTAAGGTATACTATGCCTTTACCTACACTATAAACCTTTAATATAGTGAGTAAAACCAAAATATAAACTGATTAAAAAATATCAACAGCAAAAAAATCAAAAGTGTAAATGACTGTGTATATATATATATGTATATATATATATATAAAAAATATTTAGCTGATAAACCCCTATGTGCAAGGGTGAAACAATATAAAGTGCAGTAATTCAATTAGTGATAATGATCACTCTAAGACCTTAATATAAGTAGGGACACTATAGTGCTAGGGATACAGATTTGTAACACCATAGTCTTCTTTTAAGGGGCACTATAGTCACTAGCACTACTACAGCTTATTGTACTGGTTCTGGTGCCTATAGCCTGTCCCTGCAGGCTTTTTAATGTAAACACTGCCTTTTCACTCAGACTGCCACTAGAGGTGCTACCTCCATTCTGCATCTTCATGCTCTGCATGGAGTCGCTGAAGGTTCCCCATAGAGGTGCATTGATTCTTCTATGAAGATATGCTGATTGGTGCAGTGTGGCGTTTTTGCCACGCATGTGCAATAGGTTACTATAGGAAATCATTGAATTGGCTGAGAGAATCAAGTTTAATGATCTCAGCCCTGGAGGCAGAGTAAAAACACCCTTTTATTGTACAAAGGGGGATCCGGGCATCTAAATAGTTCGTTTAACACCATAGTGTGAGGAATACATGTTTGCAAGGATTTTGGGGTACACAGGTGAAGATGATTTTGGAACCCCCTTCTCCCCCCCCAAAAGCATCTTCACCTGTGTGCCTCTTAACCCGCCTTTTGTTTCTTAACCCCTTTTTTAATGGTCTTACCCCCTTTAGTGTCTTATCCCCTATTTTTCCCCATTGTGTCTTACACCTTATGTATCTCTTACTAACCCCCTTGTGTGTCTTACTCCCACTAGCCTCTTTGTTTGTATCCTTCTCTCCCAGTCCCTTTATGTCTTTTACTCTTACCAGCTCCTTTGTGTATTTCTCTTTCACCACCAGCCCGTCTATCTCCTCCAGCCCCTCTGTGTCTGTTTCCTCTTCTCCAACCCCTCTGTGTCTCTTTCACCCCCAGCCCCTTTGTATTTCCACTCACAGGCCCTTCTGTGTGGCGCTTTCATCCCCAGCCACTCTGTGGACTTTCTCACTCCCAGGCCCATCTGTATGTCTTTCTCCTCCCTCATGTCCCTCTATGTGTCTTTCTCCCCACTCAGGCTCCCCTCTGTGCCACTCTCCCCTCCATGTCCCTTAGTGTTCCTCTCTCCCCCCCCCACTCCATGTCCATTAGTGGTTCTCTCCCCTCGATGTCCCTTAATGTTCCTCTCCTCCCTTCCCTGTCCCTTAGTGTTACTCTCCCTTCCCTGTCCCTTAGTGTTCCTCTTCCCTCCCACTTACCGGTCTCTTGATGCCCCCCATTCCCCATAATTTTCCTCCCACCCCACCATCTTAATATTCCTCACCCTTCTCTTTTAGTGGTCCCCCCACTACTCCAGTGTTCATTTCCCCTCCCCTGTACCTTAGTGCCCCCCTTAATGTTCCTCTCTCCCCCCTCCTGTTTCTTTACCCTCCCTCTTTTTTAGTGTTCTTCCCCCCTCCCCTGTCCCATAGTGTTCTTTCCCCCAATCCCCTGTCCCATAGTGTTCTTTCCCCCCCCTTCTATCCGTCCCCTCCCCCCAGCGTTCTCCCCGTCCCATGGCGTTCTTTCCCCCTCCATGTTCCCCTCCCCTGTCCGTTCTTTCCCCCTCCTGTCCCATGGCGTTCTTCCCCTCCTGTCCCATGGCGTTCTTCCCCTGTCCCATAGCGTTCTTCCCCTTCCATGTGTTCTTTGTGTTCCTTTCCCCCCATGAGTGTTCCTTTCCCCATGGTTTTCTTCCCCCATAGTTTTCCTTCTCCCCCCATAGTTTTCCTTCTCCCTTCCATAGTTTTCCTTCCTTCCTCCCAAAGTTTTCCTTCTCCCCCCATAGTGCTCCTTCTCCCTCCTCCATAGCATTCCTTCTCCCCATAGCATTCCTTCTCCCCCCTCCCATAGTTTTACTCCCCCCCCCTTAGTTTCCTTCTCTCTCCCCAGTGTGTCTTCTACCTTGTAGCATGGCCGAGCGGAGCAGACTGCGGTACAGGAGCTTCAGTTTCCTGTACCCGGTCGGACTGACAGGAAGTGCTCTCTCAGTAAGTACTTCCTTTCAGTCTGGCCAGGTACAGGAATCAGAAGTTCCTGCGCACTGCTCCGCTCGGCCATGCTACACAGAGTGCTCAGCAGGAGGGAGCGCTGTGCTCCCACCTCCTGCCGGCCACTCCATCCTATCGCCCCCCAGGGCCGGTGCGCCCTAAGGTGGCCGCTTGTTCCGCCTTATGGACGCATCGGCCCTGCATGTCTGTGTTCCTTACACTATAGAGTTCTTTTAATCTGAATTCATTTGAATTCTCATTTTAATGAATAAGACTGCTAAATTCACAAAATGTTCTACTAATCCACAAACAATATATATGTTTGTGTTTTTATTTTTATTTTTATTTTTTTTATGTCTATAGTAAACACATTCACATATTCATTGATAGTATCTGTTATTTCTGTCTTTCAAAGTCTTGTAAAATGCTCAGATTTGTATCATTTGTGGACCAAGATGATATTATCATGGTGGATAAACCATTACATAAAAGTTTACAAAAGACCAAAGGCAAACCTATCAAGGTAAGTGTAATAATTTTGAAAATGCCAATAAAATATTGATTATATAAAGATAAAGCTTATAGATTTATATCACACTAAGCTGTCTCACAACTCTGCTTCTCAATCTGTTCCAAGTACTGAAATGTATATATAACTAGACTGCTGATGTTAGTATCCTTGCTGACCTGCAATGTGAGTGAATCCATATTGAGAAACAGTTGAGGCCAAATGTAGCCTCTCACTATACACTATACTGCTAGAAAAGAAAAACAAATCACTGTTTAGTACATATACCCTTATGGAAACTGCAGGCATTTAATTATGAAGTTTTTTCAATTCTGGTTATAGCTAAAAACAGATTGCAAAAGCTGCAGATTTCTTGTCTGCAGCCTTTGCAAATTCCTCTACCTACCCCCTTCTTCAAATCTTCCGTGGCTGTCCAATCACCGACTTCCCAATGAGATGTCTATACAAGACAGGTGCTTTGAGCAATTGCTGCCTCTTGAGTTTAGCTTCAATGAGCTAACCAAACCTGGAAGAAACAAGATTAATTTACAAAACTGGCAATTTTCATTGAAATCTGTACTTTTTGGAAAATGATAAACAATGGCGTGCCCCTTTAATGTTTCCATTGGCAGTTTCCACAAATTAATAAATATACATGACATTGGGCCCGAACTTCAATGTGTGTGGATACACTAAAACATAACACTGCTAGTTTAGTGAGCTTAACCCCTTCCCGTTCGCAGAAGTACTGGGTACTTCCGACAAAAAACGGTTGTTAATGAACGCAGACGTACCCAGTATGTCCGCGGCAAAAATTACCCCTGTACTCACCTGGACCAGCGAATCCAGTCGGTGGCGGGGGGGATGGACTGCCCGAGACCCCTGCAGCAGCTCTGACCTCTCCAGCACTCCAGGGCCATGTGATCACCATGATCACATGGCCCCAACAGGAGTCTAATAGGAATTTATGGAGCTGCCAGCAGGGGGGCTGTCTGAGCTGTCAGGCAGTCCCCCATGCACCTAAAAGTGTAAAAAATAAATAAATACAACAGTTTTTATTGAGGCAATTTGTTTCAGTATACAATGTATACAGGCATAAATTAGACTGTCATAGTCTCATTTATAGAACATATTGTGAAACTAAAATCCACAACCGTGCCTTCCTCGAACACGCTGTCCCTGCACCTCCTTACTGTGCAGCAATATGTATGTACTTTTAATTTTATTTTTCACGCATCACAAATACTTATTTGTTAAAGATGAGAGAAAGTAAACTTAATATTAAAAATACTGAGACGTGACAGTTCCTCTTTGAAATTGTTTTCTTCTTATCCAAGTAATGATCTTTTTATCTTTGAAAATGTTACACGCGCCTCTTTTTTTTTTTTTTAAATACAACCGTTTTTATTGAGGCAATTTGTTTCAGTATACAATGTATACAGACAGATATGTTGGAAGCATAAATTAGACTGTCATAGTCTCATTTATAGAACATATTGTGAAACTAAAATCCACAACCGCGCCTCCCTCAAACACGCTGTCCCTGCACCTCCTTACTGTGCAGCAATATGTAATAACATTTCATGTTTCATTTTGTATTCCCTGCTCTGAGTGGAGAAATCTTTTGATCGAGCAAAGTCAAAATAGTAAGACCGATTTCCATAAAATATAAATATTTGTTTCAAATTTATATACAAAATCAAAATATACACAACGTGTTAATTAAAGCGCTTTATTATCCATAAGGTGCACCAAACATAAATACTAATAAAAATAGAATACTGTAAAAAGTTCTTACAATATGGGTAGTAAGTCCTTATGGTGTGTAAACCGCGTTTCCTCAGTTGCTATGATGTGGTCTGTGGTCTGTTCTTCTTTTAAATTGTTATGTTTGCCATTTTCAGGTGTCTTGCGTTTTAGTTAATTTACTTCCTGTTCCAGTTTTGCGTTCCATTATTGCAATGCGGTGTCTATTTGCGTCTGACGTACTTCCGGTTTCTTTTGTTGGTGTTGGAACGCAACCCTTTGCTCCACTGTGATTACTTCCTCTTCCTGAACTTTGTATGGGCATTTTCTTCTATTTGGAATGCATGGATGCGTTCCACCACTCTATTTGTGATTCTATGTCCTTAAATGGTCCGTAAAGATGCTTGGCAGTATATACAAAGAGGGGAAAAAAATAAAAAAAATAAAAAGGGGGAACAATATATTAAAAAGGGAAGATAAACCTCATAAAAGGAAGAGGGGAAGATATTTGATTTAATAAAATGCATTCATAATGGGATAATACATAGAAGTACATAGGTTAAACGAAATATATACATAAAATAGAGCATGTAAAACATATAAATATGATATCATACTTGATATAGAGCAGATTAAATTGATGTTAAAATAACACTCAGTAAAATCTTATAAGATATTGAATACTTAAGTAAAAGTACCTGCAATGTTTCTATCTTTCTCTTAGTATCTCATATATCGTAATGTATCTAATAAATGCATTCTAGGAATTTCTTTAAAATAATAAAATAACTTTAAAAAAATTATAAAAATAAATAAATATGTAGTGTCTATTTAGAACCGTGAATACTGTATTATTTTTAAAATGGCACGGAGAGGGGACCTGCAGTGCCAGGAAAACGGTTTGTTTTCCTGGCACTGGAGAGTCCCTTTAAGCCCCCCAAAAAACAGACAATTTTTTTACAAAACCTGACAGGATTTTAGGGATGTGGCTCATGCCTTCCATGTAGAGAAACTAAAAGCAATAGAAGGCATTTAGTGGACATAGGAAATATCATCAAAAAAACATATATTATAAAAGACCAACTGACGTGCCATTCCAAAAATTTGCATCTGTGATTAATTTTTGGGGGGTCAACCTATCATCCTAAGAATTCTAGCAGTCAGAGTACAGATTTAATTAATTTTAAAAAAAGAGCGATTTTGTTCCCCTTCTCTGCAATTCTCATTACCTACTTTCTCAGAAATTACAAGGTATCTTCTTGACAAAAGAAATATCATAAGAGGCAAGTCTCATACTGTTTAAACATGTCAGTGATTTTACGTCTGTTTCATGTCTTAGACACAGTAATTTATGTATTCCTATAACGAAACGAAATAATTTGAGGCTGTCAAGTTATTGCAAAGTTTAGCTGAGGGGCCAAGCATCCATTAAAAACAGGTTGTATAAATTACATCCTTATCTTTATTATTAAAGAAACACTATAGTGTCAGGAATACAAACTTCTACTCCCCACTGATGTGGCTGTATAGGTATAGGTTTTTGCAGTAAAAACATGATTTTACTTACCCTTTCTCCCCACAACTGGCTGAGATCATTTATCTTGATGTTGTCAGCCAATGAAATGCTTTTACATAGTATATCATTATGAGACTATTGCACATGAGGGGCAAAACAATGCACTGTGCCAATTAGCATCTCCTCATGAAGATGCATTTAATCAATGCATCTCTATGGGGAACATTCAGCAGCTCAATGCAGAGCTTGGAGACGCTAAACATAGGTGCTGCACACTGTGCAGCACTGCACTAGGAAGCAACTTCAGTGGCCATTTGAGTGACTGCCACTAGAGGTGTTACTAGGTACCAATGAAAAGGCAGTGTTTACAGTGCTAACACTGCAGAGACAGGCGATAGACACCAGGAGAACTACATTAAGTTGAAGTGAATATAGTGTCCCTTGAGGATGTTACTTTCACCATCAGGACCGAGTCTATGAATACAATGATGATTAATATTTAGTAAAGCACGCAGCAGAGATCAGCATTTAGCTAGAAATAAGTCAGAAAAAACATGTTTAAAAAAAAATTTTTTTTTTGCCATGCAGGGTAATACAAAGACAATAAAGAAAACAAACCCAGTGTTGGCATCTGAATATTCAATGTATAATAGCCAAACTCAGTGCCTGAGTTTGGCTATTTCACATATAATATTGAAATGCCATATTTTGTCAATATTACACTTTTGTTGTGTATTTCCCCTTGTCTTTTCATATTTCAACCCCTTACGCTGTTTGAGGGGTAAGTGTTCATATATCCTATAGTGCTGTACTCTCACTCAGATGTTTTAGGTGGTGGGTCATATCACCTAAACACTGGGTTTGTTTTCTTTATTGTTTTGTTTAATATTTGGATTTTTTGGAGTGCCCAATTGAGTGTTTTTCAGCAGCTTTGTTTTATTACTGCTACTATTAAGCACCTTGTTATCACATTTATTGTTGTTTTTTTAACAAATTTTTTAATACAAACATATAATCTTAATACGTCAAGGCATCAATAGGAAATACACATCAGAATCATTACAAGATATTTTGATAAACTGCACAATTTTACAATATAATGTAGTCAAACAAATGTGAGTCAGGCTAAACACATGAGAAAATAATTTGTAAGATAGGTAACTGACTGCACCAAGAGTAGCACATAAGGATAAGACCACCGGATAATTTAGTGACTGGGCTCAAGATGGTTGTCATGTCAGATGAAATAACAATACCAAAGAGCACAAAGAAAGAAAATTTAAGTAAACAAACCTCAACTAGATAGGAACATTGTTATCTGCAAGAGATCATATGCTGTAGCCTAAGTACACTGATGTGTCTAGTATCCCCATGAATGTAGGCCCATCATTGTACCCATAATGATGAGGCAAACTCCATGCAGATGGACAGGTAACACTGAGCATCCAAGTATGCCGTGTCGTGCAGAATTTCTCCAGCCCAAAGCTCTAACAGGAACCAGTACCCATTGTCCAAAGGCTTCTCTCCACTCCATCAGGGAGAAGCCTTGAGATCCTGTGGTTGTGGTTTCACCCAGGTACATGGACTGTGCTTGGCTACACAAACCTTCTTGGTGCCCTGTCTAGGATTGAGTTTCTGGACTGAAGCTCTTGTATTACACTGAGGCACAGTAGTAGGCAGTGCTGTAGGCAGCGTAGCTTGTCTCCGTCACTCCTGCAGGTTCGTAACCTCCAGCAGATGGAGTCGCATGTCCCCTGATTGGCAGGTAAGGTGGGGGTGTGAGGTTAACAGCTGATTCTGTGCCAAAACGCTTGGTAGATCTTGTAGAATTTTTTGTCGAAAGCTTCTTTCCACGTCTGGCTTTTCAGACCTGCTTGTATTCACCGAGGCTCTGGCGGGCATCCATCTTAGGTGCACGACACAGTCTCAAAATCTGCGGAACCTGGCTCCAAAACTGCAAAGATGCAGGAAAATAAAGTGGGGACCGGGCTATCACCTCCCAAAGGGGGGGCTGCTATTAAGCCACTGCGAGATGTGTGTCTAGAGTCAAAAGATTGGCTGCCTCCCAAGCCCTCGGATGACCGGCCCGTTAGGCCTCAGCGTCAGATGAGGCAAGTATTCACTTTAGAAGATTATGTGTGTTCATGACTGAAGCCATTTTTTCAGTATATGAACTGTTATTTCACATTTGCTTTTTAAATGCTCATATATATATATATATATATATAGTTTATTTAATAATACAGATATTATATTCTAAATAAATATTTTAGTGTTAATATAAAAATATTCTATTGATTGTCTCCCTTCTTTATTACAATACAATTACATATCACAACCTAAAACCCTAAGGCTTCTTACTGTAACTAGAACTAAATGTGCAATTGCCAATAAAGAAATTTTGTGTTCACAAACCAAAGTGCATTCAGTGCAAATCAAGTAGTAACAGAAAAGAAACTTCCCTGTACCAGGAGAAGCTTCAAGGGTACCCCAAAGACTTCCTCTTGTCTTCCACAATATGTATACAAAAATAGGGGAGTATCGGCTAAACCAACAGAAAGCCAAACATAGCGTATAACTGTGTGGAGATCATATACTCAAAAGAGAAATAAAGTTGTAGTGCAAGTACAGTGGATAATAAAAAACACATTTATTGACTTACATATAGGTTTAAAATGACGTATGTAATAACTACTCATTTCGTCCATTACGCGTTTCGACTTTACACTGTCAGTGTAAAGTCCCTGAGGAAGTCCCTAGCACAGACGAAACACGTAGGTCGCCTATTGGTGACTCTGAATTATATGATCTCCAGCCAACACATGATGATTTGAAAGCATCCATAAGACTAAACCCTTTGTGGGAAATTAAATACAAGGCATTTTTCCCTCACTGAAATTGTGAGTGACCACTTCTGATTGTACTGTTTGGCACATTATCCACACAGTTATACGATTTGTTGTTTTGCTTTCTGTTGGTTTAGCAGAGATTCCCCTATTTTTGTATACATGAACTAGAACTAGTATGATGTCTAGCTGGCTATTTTAAATCTATTCTTAACTGTAAACTGTTTGCATGTCTGGATTAGAATAAAGAAAGTTTGGGGAATTTGTTTCCAACATAACTATGTCAAGTCATGGGTTTTATAAAGTTGGTATCTATAGAATATAGAATGCACACCATAACAATCTCAAAAAACTTAGTTTTATTATGTACAAAAAGTACCAAAATGAAAACATACAATAAAAATAAACACAATGACAGAAGCAAATACAATAAAGAAATGGTAAAATACCAAAAAGATTCTTACAAGCCACTAGGCAGAAACACGAGTCACCAAACCCTCCAACGTTTCGGCACCAACTGGCTGCCTTTATCAAGGGTACCTGTATCCATGTTCATATGTGCCTGCTTATAAAGCCCTCTTACAGCTGATGGCCATCAGCATAAGGTTGTTACCAACTCCGGAAGTTACATCATCACTTCACGTGCTGGCACAATATTTTAACAGTAACATAGTAATATCATATAAGAATCAATTGTGTGCACTAAAGACATTCACAGAGCAAAGAAAGTCATATAACCTAAATGATAAATATTACTGCTCTGATAACGAACCTCTAGTACATATACAAACCGTAAATATGCTCACACTGTATCAGGCGTCTATAATCGCCATTTTACTCACTGGCAAGCGAACGCCTTTAACAATACACCCCACAAGCGTCATAGTCGCGCGCAACAATAGCCCGCGCATGCGTACTACAATAAGTGCTGCGCACGCGCGCAGCAACGTCTCATTCGCGCATGTGCATAACAGCAAACCATTCGCGCAGGCGAAACGCTTCTACTAAGCTAACAAATACATTATCATCAACCACTGAGGTACCCTATCATTCTAAAAAACCGCCCACACACAGTGGACGGCAACTAGTATCTAAAATACAAAACGAACAAGTAGGACCACAGGAGTCCTAAATAGGAGAGTAGAGAGGGAAATAGGAGTCCCTACCTTTTAATAATCCTAAAGGAACACACAACAGGACAGGTGGGAAGAGGTATAGCAATAGAGAGCCCTCCAGAATAGACACAGGGAACCAGTTACTAAAAAAACTGCCTGATAGATGTCTTAATCCTAGGGTCCGAATGGCACACCCTCTAAATCTCCCAAAACAGGGACCCTAATTGGAAAAAGGTAACTGGAAAAAAGGGAAGGAGCAATAAAAGGGAGGTGCCCCAAAGAGTAAGTCTAGGCAGAAGCCCCTATAGAAGTCTACTGTCCCTAGTTACCTCGTTCATACTATTTGCTTATTGGTCAGTTACCTCTTGAATCCGCCTCTTATCAGCCGCGTCATATGACGTGGTACTGAAATGAATAAAGGGGCGTGATAATGAGATTTAGACGATGCCCACGTGGGGAAAGTATCAAGTTAATTCATCCACAAGATTTATTGAGTTCATTACGATATAGTTGAAAACCTTATTAGGGTATAGAGCTAAAAAGAAATTAAATAATAATAGTGACTTGTAGTTCATAAGAGCCCAGTGTGCATGCGCACATACTGGCTGCCAATCGCAAATAGTATGAACGGCTGCACACGTGGGTCACAACAGCTGTTTTCACCCTCTGTAGATTGTAACAAGGGGTATTTAAATCGCTACAGGGAACTTCAAAAGCTCACTGCTCCTGACGGCGGCGTGCTGAAACGCGGAAACGCCCGTCGAGCTTCCTTTTATTTCATTTCTTTGTTTTGCACTTTTTTGGTATCACTCATGGATTGATTTGATTTAATTTATTTTATCAGTTATTATTAATCTTTGACAGGCAGGGACTGAGGTTTTTGGTAGGCACTAGTGATTCATCACAGTGCTGAGGTAACTAGGGACAGTAGACTTCTATAGGGGCTTCTGCCTAGACTTACCCTTTTATTGCTCCTTCCCTTTTTTCCAGTTACCTTTTTCCAATTAGGGTCCCTGTTTTGGGAGATTTAGAGGGTGTGCCATTCGGACCCTAGGATTAAGACATCTATCAGGCAGTTTTTTTAGTAACTGGTTCCCTGTGTCTATTCTGGAGGGCTATACCTATATTGCTATACCTCTTCCCACCTGTCCTGTTGTGTGTTCCTTTAGGATTATTAAAAGGTAGGGACTCCTATTTCCCTATCTACTCTCCTATTTAGGACTCCTGTGGTCCTACTTGTTCGTTTTGAGTTTTCCTATTTGAGGGTTATTCCCTAATTTGGGAGAGTAATTTCAGGACTTTCTAGCACTAATTCATCGGTCGTGGTTACGACCCCTGAATCAGAGCCATCACTCTTTATTTGTAGTATCTAAAATAGTACAATAAACCATCAACATTCTAACTAATAGTGGATACCATCCACCATGTTACAAATCATACTCCATAAATGTCAGTACCCCCCATGCAGATATACAGAATATGTATTACATATGTACATGTCAAAGAGGACTAATAAAATAATAAAGAGATAAAGAATAAATAATCTTAGATCCACCTTATAAATAGAATGTGATCAGTGAACCTATACATAAAATCATCTCCCACAAATATTACAAGACAAAACACAAAAGAAAACCAAAAAGTGATGTGCAAAAAAGATTTTGAATTCCACAAACACCCAATGTGTAATAGACTGATCGCTACAGGTGCCAAATACGCAATAGTAATGCAATACATAGTGGTTCTCCATACAGTACATGTTAACTACTTAACTGTGTAGTGTAAATCAGTAATTATTCAATATATTTACAAAAATAACTATATTGCCATAATTATTTACACAAACAAAATAAAAAAATTATTCATATTATGCACAGGACAATATAATACAATGTGACCTGCATATTAAGAGGCTATTCATCATCAATTTTTAAAGACATAGCAACATATTTAAAGAATTCATCTCAAATATATATCATTTTGAGAAAATAAAGATATATCAAAGCTATTGAAGAATCCATTATAAACGTATATAGCATTAGAAAAATCATTATTACATCACCTTCGTCAACCTATACACTGACTATACCCATACCAACCGCATAAACATAGCATAGGTAAACAACATCGTACCACCCACAAAAAAACACTACTCATGGCAAAAAGCTCTCGTAGTCATGGGTACCATCGTTCAATATTGTCAGTATACGAAATGTATAAATAATCATAAGTCATAATTCATATAGACAAAATTTGCTGTAGTATGAGATACAAAACTATATATGCACATAATGGGTCATCATAACAAAGACGTGAATCAATTCAACGTGTATGATGATACATTCTAATTGATTCAAAATCTTCCGGCACACTAACGTCACCAGTACCATGGTCCAAATGGTCACTGTAGCTCCAATCTATAGAAGGAAATAAAAACAAAATATAAAGATACAGACAAAACACAGGCAGAGTAAAATATTGTCATGATTATAGAAATGGTGATAGATCCTTATCCTCATTCAGACCCTTAGGATACAAAGTCTGCAGCTCGTAAATCCAGTATACCTCACGTTGTTTAAGCCTAACCACTTGTGAAATGCCACCCCTACTGGATTTAATAACCTCCAAAATCATGTACCGCAGTTGGGAAACTGTATGTCTTTTCTCAGCGAAGTGTCGGGCCACCGGATATTGCATCTTATTCGTCCGTATGCCGCTCTGGTGTTCCCTGATCCTTGTAGTGAGCGTACGCGTGGTTTCACCCACATACGCTAATCCACACGGGCATTTGAGTAAGTACACCACAAACTGAGAGTGGCAATTTCAAAATTCCCGAATTGGGTATCTCCTACCCGTCTTCGAGTGCGTAAAATTATCTCCCGTGATCACCCCATTGCAGTTAATACAATGCCCACAGCGGTACATACCCGGTATCGCAGAAAGCCAGGTATCAGCTGTATCCTTCTTCCCCTGCAGATTGACATTCTTCATTAGATGGTCCCTTAGGCTCTTGTGCCGCTTAAGTGAAAACAAAGGTCTCTCATTAAAACAAGGGAGAAGTTTAGGATCAGATTGTAAAATGTTCCAGTGCTTGTTAATGATGTGTTTAACCTCACCAAAGTGAGTCGAGTACTTCATCACGCATGGGATGCCTTTCTTGCCATCCCTAACTCTTTTCTGCTAGAGGGTATTCCTAGAAAGCAGTTTCGTCTTATCCCTACATCCAGAAACCACATCCGTCTCATATCCTCTAGAAGAAAATGCTTTCACCAGTTGTTCAGCCCTAGTGTCTCCACATATAACACTACCCTCACATCTGCCTTGAACGCTGCAGCCCCGCTCAAAACATGCACCTCGAGGAGAACACGACCCCAACCTTGGCATAATAAATCAACACGCTATCTGCAGAGTTGCTCCCGTTGTGCTGAACGCTCCTGGAGGAAGTCCCGCACCCAGGCAGACTTTCTCCATTATAGATTCATGTTGCTTTCATACAGCGCAGCCCTCGCCCTCGCCAAACAGTCATACTTTTCCTCTCTCATTAGTTCATGCTCCCGCAATCCCAGACGCCTCTTTGACACCTTTAATTCCCTTCTCCGCCCTGCTGTGGCCACCCCCCAAACTAACCTTACAGCTGATAGCTTTGCATGCTACTTTACCGACAAGATTGAACAGCTAAGGAAACAATTCTCCCCTCCTTGCCGTTCTCTTTCTCAACCACATGTAAATCTTGCTTTCCCTACCCTCCAGACTTTCTACCCAGCTACTGAACAAGAGGTGGCTGCGCTTCTCCATTCCTCTCGCCCCACCACTTGCCCGCTCGATCCTGTCCCATCTCACCTCATCAGATCTCTCTCCCCTTGTCTTGTGCCTACCCTAACACACATCTTTAACTGCTCTCTCTCTTCTGGCACTGTTCCTGCTGACCTTAAACATGCCACTGTAATACCTATCCTGAAAAAACATCTCTTGACCCATCCTCCCCTTCTAACTATCGTCCCATATCCCTGCTCCCTTTCTCATCAAAGCTTTTGGAAAGGCTTGTCTTTACCCGTGTGTCCCGCTTCCTTAATTCCAACTCTCTCCTTGACCCTCTTCAGTCTGGCTTCCGCCCTCTCCACTCTACTGAGACTGCTCTTATCAAAGTGACTAATGACCTAATCTCCGCTAAATCCAAAGGTCATTACTCCATATTAATTCTCCTTGACCTCTCTGCTGCCTTTGACACCGTTGATCATGCTCTCCTCCTTCAAACTCTTCAATCGCTCGGTCTATGTGACTCGGTCCTCTCTTGGTTTTCCTCCTATCTCTCCCAACGCTCATTCAGTTTCTCCTTTTCTAAGGATACCTCCTCCACTCGTCCTGTCTCGGTTGGAGTTCCCCAAGGGTCTGTCCTTGGTCCCCTTCTATTTTCTCTTTATACCGCCTCTCTTGGTAAACTGATTGCCTCTTTTGGATTCCACTACCACCTGTACGCTGATGACACTCAGATATACCTCTCCTCCCCGGACCTCTCCCCTGCTGTCCTGCAACGTGTCACTGCTTGCCTTTCTTCCATCTCTGACTGGATGTCTTCACGCTTTCTGAAACTTAACCTCTCTAAAACTGAACTCCTTGTCTTTCCTCCTCCTAATACTGATCCTCCTCTCTCGCTCTCCCTTCAAGTCAGTGATATCCACATAAGTCCATCCCTGCAAGCGCGCTGTCTTGGCGTCATACTTGACTCTGGTCTCACCTTCGAGTCTCACATCCAGTTTGTTGCCAAGTCCTGTAGGTTCCAACTCAAAAACATAGCCCGCATTCGCCCCTTTCTTACGCAAGATGCTACCAAGGAGCTTGTCCATGCTCTAGTAATTTCCCGCATGGATTACTGTAACCCTCTCCTGATTGGTCTTCCCAAAAGCCGTATTGCCCCGCTACAGTCTGTAATGAATGCTGCAGCTAGACTGATTTTCCTCTCTAGTTGGTCCTCTCACACCTCACCCCTCTGCCGGTCCTTACATTGGCTCCCTGTATGCTATAGGAGTCAATTCAAAGTGCTAACCCATACATTTAAAGCACTGAACAGTTCTAGCCCCGCTTATATCTCTTCACTGATCCATAAATATGCCCCTCCACGTACCCTCCGCTCTGCCCGTGACCACCTCCTGACCGCTGCTCGCACCCGTACGGCCAACTCGCGCTTGCAGGACCTCTCGCGGGCGGCTCCTCTCCTATGGAATAGCTTGCCTACTGCCATCAGACTCTCCCCTAGTCTTCAATCATTTAAGAAGGGCCTTAAAACCCATCTCTTCAGGAAAGCTTATGGCCTCCCAGAGTAATCTCTACCTTACATACCTGTCTCCTGCTCTCTCCTATGGGACAGTGCTTTGCTCTCTCCTCCAGCTCTGCTTCACTCCTACTTGATATTTATTGTCCTAATGTTTCAAATACCCCACCTCCAATAGTCTGTAAGCTCGTTTGAGCAGGGTCCTCTTCAACCTATTGTTCCTGTAAGTTTTCTTGTAATTGTCCTATTTATTGTTACACCCCCCCCTCTCAAAATATTGTAAAGCGCTACGGAATCCGTTGGCGCTATATAAATGGCAATAATAATAATAATAATATTTAGCTTCATCAGACACTATTCTGCGTGCCCTGACAAACTGACCATATGGCAAATTCTTAATAAATGATACTGGATGAAAGGAATCTGCATGCAGTTACGAAACCCGATCTGTGGGCTTTTGGTACAGTTTAAATGATAGACGACCTCCTCTTACCTGTAGATTAACATCCAAGAAATGCATCTCATGGAGGTCATATTCCAACGTAAAGGAGATGGTGTCCAAACACCCATCAAGTCTCTCTTTAAAAACCATTAGATCATCCACATTACCTGTCCAAAAAAAGAAAATATTGTCTATATACCTGAGCCACAACCTCACATGGCGCATAAAATCCTGGTCTCGGTATACAAAAGTATCCTCAAAAGCTGCCATGAATAGATTGGCACACGTCGGTGCTACATTTGACCCATTCGCTGTATCCTGTATTTGGAGGTAATATTTACCCTCAAAAATAAAGTAGTTCTTATACAGTACTAGTGACAACAAATCAACAAGTAAGCCCCTGTACGCCTCGCTCATATCCATATCCTGCATGGCACCAAATACCACCTCAATACCTTCCTCATGCGGTATGGAGGTATTTAGGCTGTTAACATCCATGGTACACATCAAGGAGCCATCGGGTATATCCCCCATCATTTCAAGCGTGCGGATAAAATCCGTAGTATCCTGCACAAAGGAGCGCATCCCACTCACTAACGGTGGCAGATGTATATCCACAAATTTAGATAAGGGCTGCAATATCGACCCACACCCAGAAACAATGGGGCGCCCTGGTGGATTCCACAGGTCCTTATGGATCTTAGGCAACAGATAGATGAAAGGGGTCTTAGGGTTATCCACATTGAGGAAATTGAAATCTCTCTTCTCAATCAACCCATCCTCTAAAGCCTTCCTAGTAATCCCATCTATTATAGCACATAGCTCACCTGCTGGATCACCATCAAGGATCCTGTAATGGTGCATGTTTGATAATTGTTGATCCATTTCCGCTACGTATTTTTGAGTATCCATAACCACCAGGGCACCTCCTTTGTCGGCTGGTCTAATCGATAGAGAGTTGTCCTCTTTCAGCTCACGAAGTGTCAGCATTTCACTTCTATTTAAATTTTATTTATGCTTCCTTTTCCATTGAATCTTATCTATGTCCATCTGGCAGGATCTGACGAAAATCTCAATACTGGCATTAGTCAGAGAAGGCAGAAATCTACTCTTAGGTCTGCACTTCGCTCGGTCATATTTAGTAGACTCTGCTTTCTCCCTCTGCTGATCTTGGTCCATCTGGTAATCCTGTAAATGAAAAAATCCCTTTAAGCGAACCGTCCTGAAAAAACGCAACATCACAATATCGGTATATAATTTATCCCCAGAATAAGTAGGAACAAACCCAAACCCTCTTTCCAGTACACTTACTTGTGATGACAAATGCTGACACTTCGTTTTGCTCGAGATATTGATTACTTTATAAAGCTGGCACACCCTAAATCTCTTAGTCTAACTTCTTTATCTGTCCTTGTCCCCGTCACATCCTCGTAGCATGATTCCTTTTTTCACCCATACTGAAGCCGAAGTGAAATACTAAAATGTTTATTTCATTAACATATTCTTTTCCAAATTTCTGTTCCTGTTTTCAGAGAGAAACGTTTCCATGTTACAAAGAGATTGTGCATCTTTATTCTGATGCCACCGCAGCTGCCCATGAATTTGAAATGCAGCCACATGCTGGAGTACAATATGATAAGCTCTCATCAAGACAACCGTGGTGCCAGTGTTCAAAATGCCCTCAAAGGAAAGAGTTTGAAAATCAGCTTTGTTGTAGATCAAAGAACGGAGACTGTATAACCACATCTGATATGTTTATAGAACTGGTTCTGTCAAGAAAGAGACTGTTATACACACTCCAATATAACAATCCTCTGTTAAAACCAAATTCTCTAAGCAATATTGAACTATCTGAATGTGCAAAGCGACAGTACATCCAGTGGCGTTTTGGGTCAAACTTGGATGTATTGGACTTTGCCGTGATACCAAGCTGTTGTATAGCTGAGATTAAAAGAGTACTCAAAGAGGGTTTTGCCAAAACTTCAACTTGATATTTATACATCTTCCTTACCCAATGAGCTTGAGGCCACATATCATCATGTTTTTACTTTTTAGACAAAAAAATCTAGGTTATTTTTTTCGAGCACCTCAGGTATAGATAAACAATACACAAACATAAAAATGCATTCCTAATCATCCAGCAAAGAGAGAATTAACAAATAAAATATTTAACGATGACATTCCAGGCCAGAGACACCAAAAAAAGGTCATATAAAACATATAGCGCATATGAAGTGTTTACTATTTTGAAACTTGATAAAAGTGCATGTAACAATATATTTCCATATAAACTAGAGGAGGACATAATCTAAATAACCCTATCAGTAATGAAGCAGAGAGCAGCACAACACAGAGATACTTAAACAAAAAATCAATAATGTAATAAAAAAAGATTGGTCCCCAATTATCATCATGTTGGGGCTCAACAAGTTACCCCTACCTTATCCGAAGGTGAAGGCTAGTTACAGTTGAACCGAGTCATGCCCATACTCCCGGGCTCATATATTTAACACACCTTACAGGTTCAGCCCAGTATACCGTGGCCTACAAGATGCTGAGTCGTCTGGGCCTGTTCTTCGACCCCACAATTGAGGCCCAGGAGATGCCTGGGCTCCTGTGCCCATAATATGGCTAAAATGTCTGTATATCTTTACACATTAGTTTTATGAAGTGAAACTTGTCAGTGATTGGTTGGCTTCCAAGCCAAACAATCATAGTGCTCTTACTGAGAATTTAAGGCAGGGAAGATCTTTATAATAGCTTTACCTGCTTTGAACTAACATAGATTGAACTAACATAGATTTTTAAATTTTTATCTTCATCTTTTTTCACAAATCAGGTCTTCTTTATATTTATTTTAATAAGTTGGGACAAATTATAATGGTTTTATTATATCTATTGGGATAAAGGAAAAATTTTATTTTTTTTAGACATATTTTGGGCTACTGGCTTAGAGCTTATGTACTTCCCACTGTGTGAGGTGAACTTTATTGGCCCAAGTTGCTGAACATCTTCTGTGCTCATAAAGTTCTCCCTGGGTGATTAGACTTTACCAAATGCTTAGTCATCCTCCCAGAATTTGTCCCTACCTACCTTGTAATTACCCTTAATCCCTACCTACCTTGTAATTACCCTTAATCCTGCTGCACATGAGGTGAAGGACGGGGTAGGGCCACTCGTTGAGTTCCTCTCTGGTAATATTTCTATCCTGGAGACCCCATCTTTTATTTATGTATTTAATAATTAAATTATTAGAGTGAGATGATCAGTTCTCAGGGTGTGAACCAATTGTCTCTCTTTATAGATTGTATTGGGGACTGAGCAATTGTTAGCTTGATTTATGTATGTTTCCACCAATCAGAGGCAGATTTTAAATTTTGAGAACTAATGATAGCTAATAGCGATACCTAATAGTGATACCTAAAATTTAGTGACTAGCTAGCTATTAAAAGCTTCCATTATACTCTGTGGGTGCCATCACCAATGATGACAGCCAGTAATTCCCATTTGCTAGTTCTAAGATTTTGTATAAAATTTTGTGCTAACATCAATTACAGCCATTTTAGTAAGAGAAGAACAAGCACGTCAAGCAAGAAGTTTTCTGTTCATAACAAAAATCATTGCATTATTTCATCCTTTAATGTAATGTTTGTGTAACATGATATTTTACTAAGTGTTTAATATAGGCAAACTGTTGTTTTACATCTCATTTCATTTTTTTATGCTTGTTTTATTAATTAAAAGAATTGTAATCAAAACATTTGTATAGAATGTAACATTAAGGGTGATTCCTAAAGTACTTCATTATACAGTGAGGGAAAAAAGGTATTTGATCCCCTGCTGATTTTGAACAATTGCCCATTGACAAAGAAATGGTCAGTCTATAATTTTAATGGTAGGTGTATTTTAATAGTGAGAGATAGCATAACAAAAAAACAAACCTCATTTGCATGTTAATGAGTGAAATAAGTATTTGACCCCTTTGACTTGGTGGCAAAACCCTTGTTGGCAATCACAGAGGTCAGACGTTTCTTGTAGTTGGCCACCAGGTTTGCACACATCTCAGGAGAGATTTTGTCCCACTCCTCTTTGTAGATCCTCTCCAAGTCATTGGGTTTTGAGGCAGACCTTTGGCAACTCGAACCTTCTGATCCCTCCACAGATTTTCTATGGGATTATGGTCTGGAGACTGGCTAGGCCACTACAGGACCTTAATGTGCTTTTTCTTGAGCCACTCGTTTGTTGCCTTGGCTGTGTGTTTTGGGTCAATGTCATGCTATAATATCCACCACCCATTTTCAATGCCCTGGCTGAGAGAAGGAGGTTCACACCCAAGATTTAATGGTACATGACCCTGTCCATCGTCCCATTGATGCGGTGCAGTTGTCCTGCCCCCTTAGCAAAAAAACAACCCCAAAGCATAATGTTTCCATAATGTTCTTGGGGTGATAGGCAGCATTCCTCCTCCTCCAAACACGGCGAGTTGAGTTGATGCCAAAGAGCTTGATTTTGGTCTCATCGGACCACAACGCTTTCACCCAGTTCTCCTCTGAATCATTCAGATGTTCATTGGCCTGTACATGTGCTTTCTTGAGCAGGGGAGCCTTGCGGGCGCTGCAGGATTTCAGTCCTAAGGGTGTAGTCTGTTTTCTTGGTGACTATGGTTCCAGCTGCCTTGAGATCATTAGCAAGATCCTCCCGTGTAGTTCTGGGCTGATTCCTCACCTTTCTCATGATCGTTGAAACTCCATGAATCTTGCATGGAGTACCAGACCAAGGGAGACTGACAGTTATTTTGTGTTTCTTCCATTTGCGAATAATTGCACAAACTGTTGTCACTTTCTCACCAAGCTGCTTGGCGATGGTCTTGTAGCCCACTCCAGCCTTGTGTAGGTCTACAATGTTGTCCTTGATATCCTTGGACAGCTCTTTGGGTTTGGCCATGGTGGAGAGTTTGGAATCTTCTGTGGACTGATTGCTTCTGTGGACAGCTGTGTTTTATACAGGTAATGAGCTTAGATTAGGAGCACTCCCTTTAAGAAAGTGCTTATTTCACTCATTGACATGCAAATCAATTTGTAAGTTTTTTGACATGCGTTATTCTGGATTTTTTGTTGTTATTATTCTGCCTCTCACTGTTAACCCCTTAAGGACGCATGACGGTTCAGGACCGTCCTCGGCATTTTTGCGTTGCCGACCGAGGACGGTCCTGAACTGTCCTAACGGAAAACGGGCGGCGGGAGCGATCAGAGATCGCTTCCGCTGAAATCCCGTTGTTACTATCTGCCCGGCATCCCAGGCAGATAGTAACAGCCAATTACGGCATGTGAGCGATCCGCGATCGCTCACAATTGGCTGGTGTCAAAGTGGGTGTTACAAACACTCACTTTGACACTGATCTCTGCCTCTCTCCTCTCTGTAACGTTTTGTGAGAGGAGAGAGACAGAGATCCTGATAGTTTGTTGCAGCAGCTGTTCCTGTGAAAATTATAAAGTATCAGAAGTTAATAAAAAATCCCTTTTAACCCCTTCCCTGCCAGATCTGTTACAGACAGTGCATTTGTACTGTCTGTATTTTTTTTTTTGCCCTTAAGGGTTAACTTTATTTAAAAAAATCTGTGTCTTAGACTGTCGTAGTCTGTCGTAGTTTGTTTTAGTCTGTCGTAGTCTGTCGTAGTCTGTCATTGTCTGTCGTAGTCAGTCAGTTTCCTTACCCCAAATCTCCATTAGATTCTTCTAACAGGAGTTAGTTTAGGGATTACTGTTTTAGTCTGTTTTAGTCTGTTTTAGTGTTTTAAAAAAAAAAATATATATATTGTGTTTAGTATTTTGTTAGTTTAGTCTGTTAGTGTGAAACATGCAGCGCATGTACAGCTTGGAGGAGGCATATGCCTTCTTGGCGTCAGACTCTGACGCCACTGACACTGTGTCCGATTTTGACCCAGGTCAGTTTAGCGGCACGTCTAGTGACATGTCATCTGTGTGTGAGCCAGCTGCTAAAAGAAGCTGTGCTTCCCCTGCTACGCTGAATGTGGAGGAGGACTGGGTACCTCCACAGTTAGCTGAGCCCAACATCCCCCCTTTTAGTGCCAACGCAGGCATTAATGTGAATGTGGTTGACTTCTCCCCTATACAATATATGGAGTTATTTTTAGGGGATACCATCTGGGAGGAGATTGCTTCCCAGACTAATTTATACGCTAGCCAATTTATTGAGACCAATCCAGGTAGCTATACAGTCAGGGAGCATGCTTGGCATCCCACAGATGTCCCTGAACTTAAAACATTCTGGGCTCTTACCATGCTCATGGGGATAATAAAAAAGCCATCAATCCGGTCTTACTGGAGCACCAACCCAATTTGTTCGACTCCTATATTCTCCCAAACAATGCCTAGACCAAGATATGAGCTGCTGCTCAGATACTTACATTTTAACGACAATACGCTCTGTCACCCCAGAGATCACCCCCAATATGATAGGCTTCATAAAATACGCCCACTGGTAGACCATCTTCAGAACAGATTTTCTGAAGTTTATACTCCCCAACAAACTTTATCCATCGATGAATCCCTTATGAAATACAAAGGGAGATTAGGGTTCAAACAATATATCCCCTCAAAGCGGTCTAGGTATGGCATTAAAGTGTACAAACTTTGCGAGAGCGAAAGTGGCTACACATTTGCCTTTCGTGTATACGAGGGGAAAGATGCTGAACTGAACCCTCCTGGCTGTCCTGACTCTCTGGGGACAAGTGGGAAACTTGTTTGGGACCTACTGATCCCTTTGTTCAATAAGGGTTACCACCTTTATGTGGACAATTTTTAAAGCAGTGTCCACTTGTTTAAAATTCTTTATAGTTTACAGACACTGGCCTGCGGCACTGTAAGAAGAAATGCCAAGGATTTCCCCAGACCTCTCATAGAGGCCAAATTAAAAAAAGGGGAATGCAAAGCTCTGCGCAAGGCTGAACTGCTTGCGCTAAAATTTAAGGACAGGAAGGATGTTCACATGCTAACAACCATCCATAACGAGGGCATGTCAGACGTCACTGTCCGAGGCAGGGTACAGACAAAACCGGTGTGCACATGGGCGTCCGCAGGAATTTTTCCAGGGGGGGGGCATAATTGAAATGACATCCATGATTGGTACCATTTTGACAGTGTCATGAAAGGGAAGGGGCATAGCCATTATCACATAAATCCAGGGTGAAGAGCGTTTTCACAACTATGGTGTCAGGAATATATGTTTGTATTCCTGACACTATAGTGTTCCTTTAAGCAAATTAAAGGACCATTCTGGTCACCATAACAACTTCACCTAAATGAAAATGCTATGATGCCAGGAAGCCCCTGGGTGCTCGCTTTCCTTTAAGGGGTTAAATTGCTCTCAAATGGTTTAACCCCAAAGGCTTCCTCCAGCTCCAGGTCGCTCAGTGGTATTTGGCTTCTGAAACAGAGTGTCAGGAAGTGCAGATTGACGTCAGGCATGGGTGCCGCTGATTGGCTAGAGTGGTCAGTTGACGCTCTAAGCCAATCGCTAGTTCCCGGTTCATAAAATATTTTTACTTTTTTATGAATGGGGAGCTACTGATTGGCTTAGAGTGCCAGCTGACCGCTCTAGCCAATCAGCAACACCCCTACCCAACGGCACTCTGTGCTTCCTGACACTCAGTAAATAAAAGTGAACACATTAATACTGATATTTTTTTACCTTTGGAGATGAGAAGGTCCAGCGTTTCCCTGCCTGGCCCAGGTACCAAAGCCTTATGATATGGTGTCCAGAATAAAGTGGAGGGTTTACTTCATTTGTCCTTCCTGCTCCAATCTCCTTTTCCTCTCCTTAATTTGACAGTCTTTTTTTTTCTTCTGACACTGTTTTCTATCCTTGGCCCCTTCTGCTCTTTTACCTTTCTGCTACTTTCTGCTTATTTAGCGCCCTTCTGCTCCTTTCTCATTCTGATCCCTTTCTGCTCCTTGCAGACCCTTTCTGCTCCCTTTTCTACTTTACCTTTGTGCTCCTTCTGATTCTTTCTGCTCCTTTACCTTTGTGCTCCTTCCTGCTCCTTGCAGGCCCTTCCTGCTCATTCTCCTATTTTACCTTCTGACCCTTTCTGATCCTTCTACTTTACCTTTGTGCTGCTTTACCTTCCAGCTCTTTTCTGACCCTTCCTGTTCATTTCTGTTCCTTTGTGCTCTTTCTCCTACTTTACCTTTTGTGCTCCTTGCTGTCCCTTCCAGCTCATTGCTGCCCCTTTCTGCTCCTTGATGTCCCTTCCTGCTCATTTCTGTTCCTTCTCATTTTCTTACTATACCTTCTTGCTCCTTGCTGACACTTCATGTAGGCTGTCTCCCCCATCCCTCACTTCCATAGGTGTGCGCACGGGGTGTGTCGGGTGTGCCTGGGCACACCCTAATCCCCGCGGCACGCCAATGGCTTGAGACCGGCAGGGGAGATCTCTGGATCTATAGGATGCCCCCCCTCACTCCTTAATCTATAGGATGCTGCCCCCCTTACTCCCCTAATCTATAGGCTGCCCCCTCACTCCCTAATATATAGGCTGCTGCCCCCCCAAATCTATAGCCTATCTCAAACCCTCCCCCCATCCCTCACTTACCTGATCTGTAGGCTGTCTCTGGCTGCATGTGTTGTTCCCCTGCGGTTTCAATCAGCAGAGAGAAGCAGGGATAAGATGCAGCTTCCTATCCCTGTCTCTCTCCATACACTGCGCAGTTCATTTTAAATTT